ATTATCAAATTATTCGAGTCTTGCTTCTAGCCTGCTTTTAAAGCTCAGTTAAGACAGACCTTACATATTATATACTAGCTGGTACCTGCGACTTCGTTCGCATAGAAATTATTAAAAAATAGCGGTATAGTACGGTACGCGACTGCAGTCCATGAGGCCTCGGGTTCGATTCCCGGACCGGGCAAAATTTTATAGGGTTTTCTAGTATATATTTAGTAAAATATTATCATAATCTAGTCCGTGTGGTGACGGATTAAGAATACAGAGTGTTACCACCCCTATTCATCCCGTGGGTGTCGTAAGAGGCGACTAAGGAAGCAAACTACGCAGGATAACAGCACTGCAAAGAGAAGGAAAACTTAAAACAAACCCCAACCCAACCCGTCTGGCCAGCGTGGTATAGTAGGCGAAAACCTCCTTTTTAAGTAGAGGCCTATGTCTAGCAGTGGACTATTAAAGGCTGTTGATGAAGTCTCAGTTATGACTCGTCATATACGGATATGCGAACCTGCCTTCTTGAAGCCAATGCAGTCTTGGCCAATTGAATGACTGTATGAATGGCGTAGTGGTTTAAGAGGTGTAAGTGTTGTGGGTTCGATTCCCACATTTGACAACACTTTGTGTCATGCAGTAAAATAGTGTAGTGTAGTAGTAAAATATTATTAAAATCGGTCCAGCCGTTTTGAAGATTACCCGGATCAAAAAGATAGACAAAAAATATTTAAACTGGTTTTAAGGCATAGGTATCGTGCAAATAACCGTGTAAGAATGAAAAAAACCTATTATTTTGACATTACAAACAGACACTTTTTATTGATTTGTAATAAATATTGTAATAGATAAAAATATCTGGGTCTGGAACACAATAGCACACTCGCAAGCGTGGAAATGGCATCCAAGCATTTATAAAGACTTGGAGCTTGTGGACGTTTACTAAGCCTCGGCACACGGCTAATGCCTTTAACCCGGCAATCTCGTGCGCGACCGTCCCGCGGGGTGACAGACAGTGGCGGGGGCGAGGTAGCGCGTCATTCTAGCACACGGCTACACACGAAGAGAAGCGTTTCCCTTCCCCGCTACACCACCCGCTACCCGCTGACATCTTGAGTACCTCGTCCCCGCCACCGTCTGTCACCCCGCAGGTCGGTCGCGCACGACGTTGATGGACTATAGTTTACATGCGTGCCGAGGCTTGACAAACGTCCATAAGCTGCAAGTATCAGTGCAGCATTGAAACTTAATTTTGATTTCCGACTGCTCAACTACAATATTTGTAATATCAAATTGAGCAGTAGGGAACAAGCACGCACCAATGTGTAAATACGTCGCAAACAGTTGCCGCGAACTTCCTTTGATCTGTATTAAAAACCCGTCACTAGTACCGATTGACGACGAGTATAGGCGAGCCGAGCCAAACACGCCGTTTACACGCTTGTATGTGTGGACACTTGTAGAGGCTCGCCATGCGTGTAAACGACATATAAGAATACGGTGTGTCACCATCCCTATTTATCCCGTAGGTATTATAGGACAACAGGACTGCAGTGAAAAGGAAAAATTGAGACAAACCCTATACCAACCCGTCTTGCCACCGTGGTATAGTAGGCCAAAACCCCATGTCTAAGGAAAGGCCTATGTCCAGCAGTGGACTATTACAGATGATGATGATTAACTCTAACTAGATTTCAGTAAAAATGCATTCTTTGTAATAAAAATCTACATCAACATAAACGAAGCTGCGGGAAAAACTGATTAAAGTCAAAAAACTTTATTCTTTATTTCATAAAAAAATTGATATCGTCTCTTGTGTGGACTCTGAAGTCATAGATCAACACACACAATAGCAACAATCTCTGTTTTGTCAAATATTTAGCAAACTAAATATAGTATGTATACGTATCGAAAATCTCCTATATGCCTGTGCCGATCTACAACCGCCTACCATATAGGTTTTCGACCCAAAACCTATAGGGTACTTCCGGTTGACCTAGAATTGTCAATTTTGATTAAAAGCAAGGTCTTACAGCACAAGTAAAGAGAAAATTCTGAAAAATAAAAAAGTTGAAAATTAAGGTAAACTTTGGTACTTACAAATTTTCGCGAAAATCGAAATTTGCCCATATTTTTTATCGTGTTGACTCAGGACCTTGATTTTTATACACCTAATAGGAACCATAGACCTCAGTATCTGGTATAAATTTCAACTTGCTAGGTCTACCCGTTCCTGAGAAAATCGGTAGTGACACACGGACAGACGGACAAGAAAGTGATCTTATAAGGGTTCCTTTTTTACCTTTTGAGGTACGGAAGCCTAATTATAAAAATCATCAATCATAAGCAAAAAAACTAAAATAAGTACCCTCAATATAACAGGTAACATTATAATAGCCATATTCCCTTCTAGTCTGTTTGAAGTCAGTGCCAAGTCAAGGTGCTCTATAGGCTTGGAAGAATGCAGCGCGGCAGCTGCAACAGTCTTTATGCTGCGCAAAACATGCACATCTCCATATTATTATTTTGAATGCTTTATTATGTAGTTGATAAGTTTGCCCATGTAATTGATCTGGTTGGTCTTTATTAATTAACAAAATCTGCTATGTTTTATTAGAACTATATTGAATTCTTAAGTTTTGTTGTGCTAATATAAAGCTGACATAGCAGTATTACCCATTAGTATTATGCACTTCGTTTTTTTTTCATTTAAAAGCCAATTGTTAACGTCAAACCAATGAAACACTTCCGAAATGGCGCTGTTTACGTCTGTGAAATTAGTAAGTGTGCGTTTGAGTCTAAACAATAATGATGTATCATCTACAAACAACACAATCTCGTGATTATCCTTGACAAGGTGAGGTCAGTCGCAAAAATGGGCCGAGAATAGAACCTTGTGGAAGAACCCGTGGATAGAACCCGGTTAATAAGATCTATCCCACGACACATTACATCGAATTATAGTGCGTACGAAAATATAAAACATAATAAAAAAAAAAGAAACTGTAACGTGTGACATATCACGTGATTCACGTGAAAGGGCCTATTGTGAAGGCCTCAAATATGTATTTTTTTTAAATAGGTAGTTTCCAAGTAATTTAAAAAAAGAGAATACTACATTATCTCCAAAACTACCTATCTATACTAATATTATAAAGCTGAAGAGTTTGTTTGTTTATTTGTTTGTTTGTTTGAACGCGCTAATCTCAGGAACTACTGGTCCGATTTAAAAAAAATCTTTCGGTGTTAGATAGCCCATTTGTCGAGGAAGGCTATAGGCTATATATCATCACGCTAAGACCAATAGGAGCGGAGCACCAATGAAGAATGTTTCAAAAACGGAGAAAATTTATTACTATTGAGAGACGCAGACGAAGTTGCGCGGGTCAGCTAGTATAAAATATATATTTATAAGCCTATACTAAAAAAAACTGCATAGACGGCGTAATGGTTTAAACGATCGCCACGCCGCTTCCTACTGCGCCGAGTGTTCAAACCCCATATGGGACGACACTTTGTGTGATCCACAAATTGTTGTTCTGTCTGATTGAGTCTGGGTGTTCTTTGTGTCCGTTTCATGTATGTTCGTAAATCGTTCGTCCATCACGAGGCAGGATATATTCCTAAAGCGGGAGTTGTCTTTTCAAAAAAAAAAGAACTACAGTAAAATGTCCCTTACATATAGAAGATTTACGAATGACTTCCGTCGCCATCGTCCTCTTATATTATTAACACGGTAAAACTTGCAATCTATGCCTACCAAACTTCATGATGCCTTTACCTTAGTGTTGTAGTATGGCGGGTGAGGCTCGTCTGGTGCTAGTCCTAGAAACTTTTCTACACCACAACATGATCCTAATCATTGATCAATTGTTGTTTAACTCAATCATCCTAATAGTTTTGGTGTCCCTGAACATGTGACAAATTGACTTTTTTTACTGTATCCATTTAAAAAAAAAATTACGTTGCCTTGTAGTACAAGACCAGGGCTTCAATTCTGCTATTTTATGTTAACGCCTGTTGTCCGTGTGGTAACGGATTAAGAATACAGAGTGCTACCACCCCTATTCATCCCGTGGGTGTCTAAGAGCCGACTAAGGAAGCAAACTACGCAGAACAACAGCACTGCAGAGAGAAGGAAAACTTGACACAAACCCTATACCAACCCGTCTGGCTAGCGTGGTATAGTAGGCCAAAACCTCCTTTCTAAGGAGAGGCTTATGTCCAGCAGTGGACTGTTAAAGGCTATTGATGATGATGATGTTAACGACAAGATACTGTCATTCTATTGACACGCTATTGAGATGCCATTGAGACGCCATTGATATCGGTCAAAATATCAGTATTCTACTAACATAAATACAGTGTCAATAGACTGTCGATATAGTAATATAGATCATTAATGATGACATCAAAAATAGCAGAATTTTCTGTACCATGACAAGTTTAGAAATATACTGGACAGCTGTAGATTTCTATGGCTATTTTTACAGATAATAGAAAAAAACTATCTGAACTAAAAAAAATACGGAAATATCACTAAACGTCAGTGAATAAATGAAAATGGTTTTGCTTTGTCTTGCCCATTTTGAATATATACACTGCTTAAAAACAAGTTGAGAGAATAATATTTGACCCTAAAAATACTAATGAACAGGTGTATAACTTTATTGTGTAGTGTTTCACAGACCATTGAAGTTAATAACATAATCTAATGTCTAATTATGAGAATCCTTATGCAATAAAAATTGGGGACAAACATTAATTGCCAGATACAAAACCGAAACCAGTTCTTCAGATTTGGACTACGATTTGAACAACTTACGCCATCTTTTATTCACCTAATTACGCAATAACTTGTCTCTATGAAGTGGAGTCAGTATTTTTACGTTTGATACTAGATGGCGCTAAAAGCCATTTATGTTAAATCATTAAAAAGGTTGTTTAGTACCGAATGTAATCAATCTGAGGTTTATAATTTAATAAAGCTTTTATTATTTTTGTTTCAGGGTCATTAAAGACATCATTTTTAGCTGGATCAACATTTACAGTACATTGGCATTTGGCATACGCTCATCGAGTAAGTAAAACAAAATTTAAGCTTTAATATCACCTGCCCGGCTAGCTCAGTCGGTAGAGCATGAGACTCTTAATCTCAGGGTCGTGGGTTCGAGCCCCACGTTGGGCGAAATCTTTTTGCTAATATTTGTTTCTTTTTTTTCAGGGTGGATTCAGTTTGAGGATATTAGATGATTTGGAAAGACCACTTTTGGATTTGACGCCAAGAGCAGGTGGCACCGAGTTTGTTCGAGATGATGTTACGTAAGTGCATTAGTTTTGTAATTTTGTTCAAATTTTTAGCCACCAAAATCAGCGAACATCTTTAGACATAAAAATCAGTGAAAAATATTTTTAGGCATAAATACGAGTTTGGTGTTGATAAAGGTAAAAATAAAAGTACCCGTTACCTACAGCGTGGATATTGCGAATATAATTTAAAAAAATACTGCAATTAATTATCTTCTGCAGATTTAAATAGATTGACCTTCAGTTGAATTTATTAATTCTCAGAGCTTGTTATTATTAGAATATTAATGAAGTTGCAAAACCTACGATAAATCGACTAACCGATTAATAACAACCTTTGGTTTCTAAAAAAGAAATTAGTCTAGTGTATCCCTAATAGATGAACATTAATAAATAATATAATAATAAAAATAAATGTTTATTCTCTGTTCACAAATGGATGCCTAAACAATAAATAATAGACCTAGTAGGTGTTTTCTACATTTACATCTACATTTTTTCGATTTACTCAGAAAATAAATTATTGTGTCATGAGCATTTGTTTTTGGAGCGTGCAATAGGAGAGGCTTATGTCCAGCAGTGGACTGCGATAGGCTGATGATGATGATCATTTGTTCTGTGTCTAGGTTCTATGTATCTAAAACTATTTATGTATTCAGAAAATAAGTATGTTTATCAGCAGTCTAGTTACCATAACACAGGCTCTGCCTAGATTTCGGGATTAGGCGGCCGTGTATAAGATGTGTGAGGTTATTATTATAATGTTTTTCAACACTCTTGACTGCAGGGCGCAGAAATACGAGGTGCGACTCCCAAGCGACTTCACCTGTGAGAATTGCACGCTGCAGCTCCAGCGGGAGGCTGGCGAATGGGGCGCCAACTACAGGTTTTGGTCTTGTGCTGACATCGATATAGTACAGCGTGAGTATTACCTAGTCAGCTATAAGGTACCACGGGTTCCTCTAGGTTATGGAACAGTAACTAATGTTTTGATGATAGACATCGAGTTATTAGTACAATAAACGTTAATCAATTTCCTGTGTTTTGTGAATTTGAGATATACAGAGTATATGTTTTGTGTTTTAAATTTCATCAACGGAAGTATGAGTCTTTGTACAGTGTGTATAAAAACTATTGTACGTCGTAGGACGTCTGGCAGATGCGAAACATATAAATTAATTTGTAGAAATAATGAGTCACTTACGAAAGGCGACACGTCGCCACGCCGCGTTACATGTACCTATTATCATACGGATGTTGGCGTGTACGCGTCGCCACGCCATCAGCCGGTCTGTCCCACCGCATTAGATGTTTCACATCGAAAACGTTGACTTAAAAAACGTAAGTTCATTATATCCATATAAAACGTTTAATTCAATTCAAGACGTAAGAATTCCAATGCCCAGTATTAGTCATCTGCTTATACAAAATATCGTATGGAAATGACACTGTCTTTCTTGTATCAAATTAGTAGATAGTTATTACAATTTTAATTAAGCTGATGGCCTTGACTTACATTCGTTAAATGGTTTGGAATCTCGTCCATCTAATCAACATTTTGTTATTAATAAATTAGCATATAGCAGCTTTGTAACTAAATAATCAGTTACAATTGAGTATTCGTTATATATTATGATTTATTATTAAAGTATTTAGATGTAATTGATATTTTTATATTGTTATTAATGCTGCAGCGTAACGGATGCATTGGGTAGATGGTAACAAAGTATTTTAATGGGCGAATACTTAGATTTACTTACAAAACTCATAATACAAATGAAACTGAAGCAAAATTATGGCAATCGGCATACACTGCCGTGCCCATCATAAAAACTGTAACTCGACTTACAGTGTTTTGCCTTAATAACACTCAATCAGGGCCTCAATTCTGCTATTTTATGTTCACGACAAGCCACTGTCATACCACTGACACGCTATTGAGATTCCATCGAGTGGCCAAACAAATTTTACTAGCATTACTTTTTTACATAAATATACTTTAATGACTATCATGGTTATAGGTTTAAATAACCACCACTTTTAATAAAATAAAGTATTACATACCATAGAACTTTAAGTGTGTAAAATATAAATGTAAAATATCATATATTCGACATTGTAAATATGTATCATAGAGAACGGAAGTTTAAAAATTTGTGAACCAATTAGCATATAAATGGCATATCTTTTTATTTAGTCTAAAATTGATCTGTTATTAGACAGGCATTTTAATTAATGCAATCTTATTCACGCCTGTCAGTTGTAGATAACATATAGTCTAGAGGTATCAGCGAAGAATGCACATCTCATTTGAATGTTTAAATTGTTTGTGTGTCCGGCAAGGCTGTTAATAATTTGAATATCTGTCATGATTAAATCGTTAAACATACTTCATTCTTAGTAATAAATTAAAACTGTATTGCGTTATTGATTGAATAATAGTTTTTATTCATTGACTAACTGTATTTGCCCTTCTCTTGCGTGTATTTCAGTTTATTGTACGTACTCCAACGTACTCACGGGTATCACGTGACTCTCCCGAACACGGCCGAAGGTGTTAGGAGTAGGGTTGCCAGCACCAGGGACTTCCTTTCTAGGGTATACCTGGTTCCCCGGGTATTAGTACTCGAGACGGCGTTTTAGTCGGTTCGAGTCCGACATGCCACCGATAGGTGGTATCCGAGGGGATTTCCGCACAAAAAAAAAAGGAGTATTGTTGCCAGATAGAAAATTATCAAATCCGGGACAATTCTAGGACAACGGTGTCGGGTTGTGGCCGTAGTTAAAAGTATCTTGTTTTTTAATTTTCAAAGGATTTATATTTGTATTTGAAAAGGAAATGCCATTTATTCACAAATACATACTTTTATTAGATAGGTATCTACGCACTTAGTAAGCACTCCCTTCCCGCACGCAACCCCCACTCACAGGCAGGCCAGCCGTGTCATTCGTTGTTAGTTTATTTTGTTATAAAACTGGTAGGTTTTGAGAATTCGGGACAATAAGGTCTAATTACTGGACACGGGACAAGACGCAAAACTACGGGACAATCCCGGATTTCCCGGCCATCGGGCAAGCCTAGTTAGAAGTCATGTCGGTCACTATAACAGATCGCAATTTATTAAAAAGGGATCACAATTAACGACATGTCACTATAAACGTAGTCATTATATCCAACTTAGTTACAAAGAATTTTATATTAAAACTAGCTGACCCTGCAAACGTTGTTTTGCTATTTAAATTATTTAATTATTATTTTTTTTTAATTTCTTAAAATCCGTTCCTAGCTGACCTCTACTCGGTGAAAAGAATATTCCTACCAAATTTCAAGTCTTTATCTCTAATAGTTCCAGAGATATCGTGATGAGTGACTATTTACGTGGAAATCTCTTATATATATTAAAATAAAACTTCGCTGTGTAATTACTTTATAATAAGCGGTTGGTAAATATAGGCGTAGACATAATAAACGGATTCTACTGTATCTTAAGTTACTCCTTATCGAGAAAGCTGTTTAAATCAGCCCACCCGCGTTCAACGAATAGACATACTCGTACAGACGAATATTTTAGTTATTTTTTTAAAATATGAATAGAGTAATACGTTAATTATAATAAAAAATAATTTATGTAATAAATAACGTACGATGTAATTCATTTAAAAAAATAATTACACCGATTTAACACTATTTAAAACTAATAAAGGCCACTAAAAATAAAAAAAGAATTCCAAATCTAATTGAAAAAGCTAAAGTAAGTATGACCCTTAATATAACTGATACATTATAATTATAGCAATTCTAGTGTGTTTGAAGTCGGTGCCAAGCCCTCCTCTTTAGTGTTTTTGAAGTCGGTAAACAAATTATTATTTTGTGACACTGGCAACCTTTCGCCATAAGGCGGTCCCTGTGTTTCAGTTACATGAATTTCATTTACCAAACTACTTTTTCATAGGTAAGGAATACCACGAAACGTGCTCCGGCCACGGTTTCTTCATTCTGGGTAGGTGCAAATGCCACAAGATGTACTCCGGCCAAAAGTGTCAGTTCAGTGACGAATGCTCAGAGGACAGCGACTGCGGGCTGAGGGGTAAATGCGTTGATGTCAACGCGACCGAGTCACCGACCAAGATGTGCTACTGTCCGTTTGGGTTCTACGGCAAGGGGTGTAATAAGAGTAAGTGGGTTTTTACTGTCATTTTGCATTGCACGGATGGCGTAGTGGTTTAAGCGGTCACCTCGCCGCTTCTTACTGCGCTAAGTGTTGTGGTTTTGATCCCCACATGGGACAACACTTTGTGTGATCCACAAATTGTTTTTCGAGTCTCGGTGTTCTTTGTGTCCGTTTCATGTATAGTCACCTGCGACTCAGGATATATTCCGTGTCGGGGATTTAAATAAAGGTCTTTTAATAAGAGAGCGCCAGGGTTTTCTGGCAATTGCCATTTCGGATTACAGACCTACTACCATAACCTGTTCGAGCTACTCAATTCACCTGTATCTTCAGTAACAGTATAAAGTAAAAATAAAAGGGAGGATCACTTTTCCTCTTTTTTTTCAAATTTTCTCTTCTTCAATTCCAAATGTACCACTGGCACTCAGTTATAGACAATTTGGATTTTCAATACGCTCTCTAGGTAGAGGGCGTATTGAAAACAAGGAGTGGTAGGTACCACTCCTTGGATACTGTGCTGGTATTTTTGATGTGACTCGTACTTCTTTTATATTAATCAAAAGTTTATCGACTCATTAGAATTATTCTAGCTATACTGTAACCCTAAAATAAACAGGTAAGTACATAAGCTAAATGCTTTAATAGAGTTCAGTTCATACTATTGTTGTAGAAGTTCAAATAGACGAAATCAAATGGGTCCAAAAACATTACGGCATCAATATTATACTCATTCCTGGGTCGCAAGTCCAAGGCACTGTCGCAGTCACATGTGTTGCCTTCATCTATCACGCGATGGACCCGGCACCCGGACTATGAATCCATTGTAAACAATTTACTAAATATTACATGTGGTAGTTCTCCAATCTTCAAGATCTGTTGCTCTGTGAGAATCAGCAACCGACATTTTTGTTTTTTTCTTATACTTATTTTGCCGTTTGTTTTTAAAGAGGGACCATGGAAAGACAAGAAGGTGAACCTGGGACTGTACAGCAAACGTGAGCTGTCAAAAGAATTCAACTTGTACTGGAGGGTCCTAAAGGAGAACGCCGAGTTAGAGGTCATTATGATGGTCAATGGCACTTCTTATGCGGGTATGTATTTATTACAACTAGTACTATAAATGACTAGTGGCCATAAAGTATAGGTATATTTATGGATGGCGACGTAATGAGATTCAGCAAAAAAATCCCCTCCCTTCCCTGGGAATTCCTACTTGGGGAACCCCCCATTTAGAACAAATTGAAACCCCATTGGAACAATTGAATGTAAGCCAATCTTTAAATAACTTTTACTGGGATATTAAAAACTATAGTCTACACTCAACTATAAGTTTTATGTAGATAGGGATTTAAGAATATATTTTATATTTCCATCTCGACCGTACAAGTATTGTCAAAAGAGGTTTTGAAGAAATCCGCATCTGAATAAATGAGAAGCCGAAGAAATCCTAATCAGAACAAGTGCGATACTGAAGAGATGGATTCTATTTTATTTTAACTTTAATCTATGTGGAATGAGTTTCAGTGTAAATCACCTGCTATGCTATGAATACTTAAACTTGTTTACGCATTATAGGTATAGGTTGGCGTCCAAGTGGCTTGACTAAAGAGTGCAAGCACTTCCCAGTGCTAGGACCCCCCATGACTAATAAAAGTAAGTACAAAGATACCTTCAAAATTCTAGGACTAGGAACACTTATTACCTGTCTACTTATTACTTTTTAACCTACTTCCAAAAGGAGGAAGTTATCAATTCGGATGTTTATATATTTCTGTTTATGTATGTGCGGCAATAACTCCGTCATATATAGAGGGATTTTCGAAATTCTTTTTTTTCGATAGCGGGGTTATTTCGAAATGGTTCCATTTAAATTTCATATAGATCTGATGATGTGTTTCGGAAACAGACAACCGAACTCCTAAAAATGACAGACTCTCCTGTCAGAAAATCAACCGCGATTGTAAAGTTTTTAGTGTTCTTTGTTAGTAGTGTTTTAAGTCGGTTAAATTTTTTAAAGGAGTTTATTACATAAAAGATGCATGTTAAGTACATATTCCCCCAATACAGATCTTTACCTAGTTGGTCATACAGGAGTCTTATATATTTGGTTAAATTCTAGGAACATTTTATGTATTAATTTATTGAGTTATAACGGCATGAACCAAAAATTTTAAATGTTTGAATAAAAACAATATAAAAGTTTGACTCAATCGGACATTCGGAAGTTCAGGCTATAGGAATGATTCAATGTTCTAAAATCAAACATCTTTACATTACTTTGCCCTTTCCTAATTACAGCAAATACACCAAAACCAGAACCGCTTCCGGAACCTGAACCTAAAGCAGAGCCCGAACCTAAAGCAGAACCCGAACCTAATGCAGAACCAGAACCAAAACCGGAACCGGAACCAAAAGCGGATTCTGAACCAAAAGCGGAACCGCAACCCAACCCAGAACCAAAAGCTGAACCCGAATCTTCCCCAGAACCGAAAGCCGAACCGGAACCATCTCCAGAACCTAAACCAGAATCGGAAGTAACGACTCAAGCGCCTACATATGATAATAGAAATAAGAGAGTCGCAATGCACTCTTTTGACGGATTCGATTTAAAGAATTTAGGCAACGATGTTACTGTGAAAACTAGTGTGTCGTACAAAGTGTCCAGTTCTAAAGGTAATATAGTAGTTTTATTAATATTCTTGCTTAAAATTAATAATAAGAATGGTCTTACACATCTCACACACGGCTCTCTGATCCCAAACTAGGCAGAGTCTAACCAAACTGCTGATAAACATACTTGTATATTTGTAAATACACAGAACAAGTGATCGTACTCCTCACATAATTGTTTATCCTGGCGGGGAATCCAACCCACGACTTCGGGCTTAATTTCAAAACTAGTTTTTCCAGTCCAGAGTCCAGAAACCGTGGTTTTGATGAATAATTTTATAGTCCGCACGATCCTATATATTCTGTATCTGAGTGTAGTTTACCTATTTTACGTATGATGTGTGTATTCAGTATTATATTAGTATGTTTATCACACATAGTTTGATCAGATGGCTGTGTTCGAGGTGTCTTAAGTTATTATTTCCATTGCCTTAATATTACTTATAAAGTAAGGTCAATAAATTTACTAATAATTTAATAGAAAATATTTTTTTATTTGTAATACAATTATTTTTTAAAAGTAATAAGAAATAATGATTTTTCTAAAAACAAATATAATTAAATATTTGTATTTTATACCAAATCCTCTTTGTTTCACAAAATCGTTCATAATAATTTTACAAATTTATCACACAATTTTACAATTTATCTTTTATTTTTGATACAAATTTAAGTTTTATCTAAAATATATCCTTCTTACAGGTCGTAAAAAGCGTGCTGTAAACGACACAAGTAAGTACAAAAAGACCTTAAAAAACTGCATAAAGAGGTATACATTATAAAAGCACCTACACATAACACTACGCTAACACAAAACGCAACGAGCAAAATTACTGCACATATTATTTGCATTATATTATATAGAATTGGCATACTAACGGCGTATCAAAGTTCTATCACTGGCTGAGATATAAATAATTTATTACTTGATACTCAATCCATTTCTAATATGGCTAATTTGTATACAATAATGGCTCATTTATGTACAAACATGGCTCGTTTCTATTCAATTATGATCATTTTGTTTAACGTCCAAACCAAGCCTTAAATGATTGATCAAAGGTTTTGTTATTCCGTATAAATGCTATGCTTTACTAACAGATAATTAGCGAATGTTGAACTCTATTATTATGGGCAAACGGTAGCGTTATCCAATATTATATCTGGGGTCGATAACCAGCAGATACAACCTGCAATCTACGTGTTGTTACAAGAGATAGAAAGAGAGAGTAAATATTAACGATGTTTTATACGCCAGATCAAAGCTTATTTGCTTAGCTGGAAGGGTGCACTACACTGATTTATTTAAAAAGAAATGTAAATAGAGAGTGAATTTGAGTGTTCATATTGTGAAAAAAATATTGAGATAATTTTGTATCTATGTTTCCTAAAATTTTGTCTTACAGACGTTATTCCCAAATGTAATTACAATCCGGCAGTGGTAGAACTAGCTCTTATGTATATAATTGCTGCATGATAACATTATTTTTACAGATTTGGACACTACGACTGCTATTTTATCCCATAACCACACTGTAGGATCCAATACAGATGCCATTAATGCCCAAAACCCCACTAGTGAAACACCCAAAGCCAAACATGCTGCAAAACCAAAGTGGAAACCAAAGTCCAAACAATCAACTACTACTACTACAACCACAACACCTACTCCTGAACCTAATATCGAAACAACATTAAAACCCGAACCTACACCTGAACCCAAATCCGAACCTGAACCCACTGGGGAACCTGAACCTAAGTCTGAGCCAGAACCAACTTCTAAATCCAAATATGAGCCTGAACCAACGTCAGAGCCTGAACCCGCTTCTGAACCCGAACCAAAATCTGAACCCGAACCAAATTCTGAACCCGAACCCTTAGCAGAACCTGAACCCAAACCGACCGCAGAGCCTAAATCTGAACCTGAACCTACTGGGGAACAAAATGCCGAACCAGAACCAAAGTCTAAACTCCAACCGATTCCAGAACCAAACACGGCAACGGAATTTAAGTCTAAATCCATTTCTAAGTATCTCTCTTCATCACAATTTAGAACAAAGGCTAAATCTTTAACTTATCCAAATTCCGAATTGGAGCCTCAACCGGAACCTAAAGCCGAAGCGGAACCTTCACCTGACCCCGAATCGTTGCCCGAACCATCTCCTGAACCTAAACCAGAACCCAATTCCGAACCAGAACCTAAATCTGAACCAAAACCCAATTCCGAACCAGAACCTAAATCAGAACCAGAACCCAAATCCGAACCAGAACCTAAATCTGAACCTGAACCCAAATCCGAACCAGAACCAAAATCCGAACCAGAACCTAAATCTGAACCTGAACCCAAATCCGAACCAGAACCTAAATCTGAACCAGAACCCAAATCTGAACCAAAGCCAAAATCCGAACCAGAACCCAAATCGGCACCAGAACCTAAATCCGAACCAGAACCCGAATCCGAACCAGAACCGAAATCCGAACCAGAACCCAAATCCGAACCAGAACCCAAATCCGAACCAGAGCCTAAATCCGAACCAGAACCCAAATCCGAACCAGAACCCAAATCCGAACCAGAACCCAAATCTGAACCGGAACCAAATTCGGTACCGGAGCCAGCCTCGGAACCCATTCCTGAACCCGAATCGTCCCCTGAACCCCACGCAGAATTGGAACCTGCGACATTACTAGTGAAGGGACTTACAGAAGAAGCAGGTAACCGCCACATGCTTTTGCACAAAATAAACCTATGCCTTGATATCTTACAAAACAATAATGAAATAGACAGCCAAAGTTGTGTTTAACTTATAATTCATCCTATATACAAGATACTAAGGCATATGTTTGTATGTATGTAGTAAAATTAAATGTATTTGTATAGCAACTTTGTAGCACAGTGTCATATAATAAAATACCATTATTATTGTATCTAATATGTAACAATTTGCTTCGACATTATGTAGATGTTGTGACTGCTGAATAAATAGGCATAAACATCATATTTTTGCATATATTGAAAAAACAGAGGCTAATAAAATGATGATGGAATTGCAGGCTCGGCAGAAAACCGGTGTTAAACAGTTGTGGTAATGGAACAATGACTTAGGGTGAATAGAATCGAGTGTTATGTTTTTTGGTCACGACATTTCGATACTATAATTTAGATCAGAGATTCTGGAATTTAAAAATCATTTGATACTGACCTAGAACTGGAAAGTCTGAGTTATTTTGTTTGAGGAAACATGTGTTCCTAAGACTAAGTTCGTAGAAATTTGTTTACAGCAACTGACTTAAGCTGCAAAACAATGCTATGAGTTTGACAAGAATTTGAGAGAGCGAACTAAAATTTAACAATGTGACTAATTTTATTGTTGAAGATAAAATATCTATATTTGGTCCAAACTTGGTACCAACTAGTTCTTAGAAAGTGAGACTAGCCCTAACCAGCTATGAACAGTGTAATAGTACTTTTACCCTTTCCAAATTAATTGTCAAAATACCACAATAGTAAATGATGGGTATGCCTATAAAATGCTTTGATTGTGAATGAATGTGAGCCTTCTTACTAATTTTTGTGTCTGTCATCCATCTCTTTTTTTCCATCTCATCTCTCTTTTTCTTGCATATTATGTGACAGATATCTTTATATATTTCTTGCATGATATATACCGGTTTACTATAATTTCCGAGTTACTTGTATTCTTCTCTATTTCTGCTTTAATATATTTTTCTCTGCTTAGCGTTTGGCTTTTTGGTATGACTATCCACCTCCTATGAGTGTCCTTTGATTTCCCTTGATTCCAATTTATTACTAATTCTTTTATTTCGGTATTCTTTTCAGAATCTTTCTGTGTTCTAACTCCTGTAAAATATTCCCTTCTCCTAACCTAATTTTTTAATCTATTTTAATAGTTTTCTGTAAGCTGAGTGTCAAAGTGTGTATTAAATGTACAGGGGTACTGTGTGTGTGTTGTAAATGATCTATTAATATTTTTAAGGGTAGTTTTTCAATCGTCACATGGCATTTATTTGATGTTTTTCTTTTCATTTTTTTGACAATTCTCAAATAGATTGTGTTGAATGTTTGAAATATTACCGTTAAGTAAATGTGGATAATTTATAATAAGTAACATATTTGAAAAAAAATATCAACAATAATTTTTTTCAGTGTTCAGATTTATGTTTATTTTTTTAGATTTACACCCGAGACACGTCTTAAATCTACGTTATTCGTATGCGATGTTTAATATTAAATAACTTAAATTTTAGAGCTATAAATAATATGTTGAAATATGAAATAATTTTTGGATAAGATAAGCTATTTAGTTAGGTATGGGATGACAAAATGGTAGTATTTTTTTTAATTGTTTGAATCAGAAGAGCTGTCTTGATTTCACTTACTTGTTATTTACAAATACGTTTCTGGGTGTTATTTGTGTCTGCTGTTTCAATGACCGTATATAGAACCGCGACACAGAAATCATTCGTAGTACGGAAATTATTATTTAAAATAAAATGATTATGTAGCATTCATCAATAATTGGTAGCACCGTTTTCGAGTTGAGTGAAAAAAATAATACAAAAATAACTCGTTTTAAGTTTTTAAATCTAATTACCTAGTTATTAGACTGTGTCCTAATAAAATTATTTTTAATATGCATAAAGCTAAGACGGGCCTGTTGGTCTAGTGGTTAGAGATTCTGACTGCTAAGTCAGAGGTCGTGGGTTCGATTCCCACCCAGAAAAAATAGTTGTGTGATAAACGGGACCATTTGTTCTGTGTCTGGGTGTAATTTATCTATAATATGTATGTATTATAATATTTATCAGGAGTTTAGTTACCATAGCACAAGCGTTGCCCAGTTTGGGATTGCCGTGTGTTGGGAGGGCGTTGGTGAGATCTGTGAGGGTATTATTATAAGAAATTAGAATGATAATGATTTTACTTAAGACTAATTAACTTACACAAACAGCAATAGTTTTTGAGAGCTCTACGCCACTTTTGAGAAGTTTCATATATCATATGAAATTGTCATTCAAATTTAACCCTACAATGTATGTATAATACGACTACTTTTGCAAAAACCGAGCTCTAGATCACTATGGTTGTTATTACATTCTCATTCTGTATATAAAATATGCGTACATTTTAGGCTACTTCCCCGCACACGAATATGTGCCGAAATACGACTTCAACCCTATGGACTGTACTGACATCGTCATTGGAACCGCTAAGGGCAATTATCATAGAGTGCTGGATTATTACACTAGGGACAGGTGAGCTAATTACATCCATACTTGATATTATAAATGCGAAAGTGTGTCTGTCTTTCTGTCTATCTATTACCTCTTTACGCTTAAACCGCTAAACCGATTTAGATGAAATTTTGGTGTAGCGATAGTATATATACATATATATCCCAGAAATTATTTTTAAGGGGTTTGAAAAGGGTATGGAAGTTTGTATAGGGAATCAATAACTGCTGAACCGATTTTAATGAAATTTGGCATGGAGAGACTTTGATTGTTGAGGAATGACATCGGCTACTTTTTACCGCGATAACCAACATACACGCAGGTGAAGCCACGGGCAAAAGCTACTAGTCCATATATGTAATCAAGTAAAGAATTGGGTGTGTTTCTTTTACAATTAGACCAAGATATGTTTAGCGAATGGTTTCGAAGGACAATGGATAAGCGCCGTCACCGATGGAGGCTCCATCGACCCAACTGGGTTTTGTGGAATCTTTGCCTCTCTACTAGCCTTTGCCAGCCGCATGGTGGTCGACATCAGACATCGTACGCGTCTAGCCAAAAATAACGGAGTTTCATATAAATTTCCAACCCCATTTTGCACCCTTAGGGGTAGAATTTTTAAAAATTCTTTCTTAGTGCACATCTACGTCACGTCACGTGCAAAATTTTATGCTTCTAGACCCAGCGGTTGCAATAGTGCGTTGATCAATCAGTCAGTGAATCAGTCTGCCAATCTTCTTTTAGAAACTTCTGGTGAACCGCATTAGGAATCTGCATAGCTTTAGTTATAAGCAAGTCTGGTGACCGCAGACTGGTTACTATAAGGCCTTGCGATAGGGAAATAAATCTACCACATACCTAAAACTGATGTAAAACAAGGCTCAATATTAAGATAATTTCTCCAATTAACTAAATGTTATTTGGTGTTTAAGATCGACTCCGCGCGTGGACACCTTCTGGGGAGGACACGACGATATCACGGCTGCTTCTGGTTTCGAAGAGAACGGAGTTACCACTATTATGTTCAGGCGAAAGATTAAGGTAATTTATTGTTGTCTTCTGGAAACCCCTCTTTGAGTAGAAAAGTTTATTTAAGAAAAACTTAAAATACTTTGCACATGGTCCGATTCAAACCTAGGCAGAGCCCGTACAATAGTAGCCAGGCTACCGACAAATAATAATCAGGTAATTTATTCCAATAAAACGCATTAGATAATTTAGTTGTGTTCATCACAAAATTAGTTATCCTGGGTGGAAAACTAACACATGACCTCTAGTTTGAATTACTAATAACTAGTGTCCGCGTGGTGACGGATTAAGAATACAGAGTGTCACCACCCCTATTCATCCCATGGGTGTCGTAAGAGCCCACTAAGGGAGCTAACTACGTAGGACAACAGCATTCTTAAACCATACATTCTTTTGAGAAATAAGGATGCTTAAACCGTAAACCGTAGATTACAATTTCGGAAGTCGTTTATATTACGCGGAACCCGTATGATTTTCTAATTTTCTCATTATACAGGCCACAGAACCCACGGACCATTCAATCGTAGACGACACAATGCACGTCATCTGGGCTCGGGGCCAAGAGACGGGCAAGTACGTGCACTCTCCCCCGTCAGGCATCGAACGCGGGACAGCTGGTACAGGCGACTTCTACCGCCCTGATGAGCTGAAGTATCACGGTCATGGCAGTCAAAGAGGAGTTGCCAGCATTAACTTCTTTGGTGAGTGTTATCAATCATTTCAATTCTCTCACAGAAAACCAGTGTGAAGCAAAGTTTTTGTTGTTTTTCAATATGAGGATGAGGGATACCAGAGTCTAAATCATCCAACCCCAAATCCCATGATTCTAGGGAAGTATCCATGGATAGAATAGAATATTCTTTATTGTACACAAATTACAATACGTTAGATAAATATAACAGACGGATATGTACAATGGGTGGGCTCATCGCTAAAAGCAATCTCTTACAGGCAACCTTTGGATGGACAAATCGACAGTAGATGAGAAGAAACAATGGGTAGTCTAGGTGTATTGAAGCTTAATTAGTGTAAAAATAAATCAAATATAACATACACACAGATACATATACACACATAAATAATATAAAATGTTTATTGATAACTAGGCATGGGACAAAATCATAATGAACTGAAAGACCGGTGATTTATCATTCGATTTTTTCGTACGTAGGTTAGAGTTACTACTTACCCACGCGTTGTTGTCAATAAGCTGTTTTCAGACTATGCACTTTGCCCTACTTTGCCTATTCAACAAGAAAGTCTAGTAATTATTTTATTATATATAGCTACCATTCCCTACACAATAATTTATAAAATATTAGATTTACTATTAATTATCGTTTAATCTACCTACCTATGAACCTTAACCTACGTACGCAAAAATCGTGTACGTTGCCTAAATGGAGAATGTACCCGAAGGTGGTGCCCGCGCCGCTGCGGGCCGGCGCTAGGAGGGGTCCGGATGTCTTAACAACAGCTGTTCCCGGATCCCTCCTGTTACAGGCGCAGAGTGGCACACCGTGTGGTTTTAGTCGGTCCGAGTCCGACACACCACCCCGCCGCAAACGTCGGTGAGGTGACGGCTCGTGGGGGTTTCCACACGAAAAAAAACGTACGCAAAATCGAATGAAAAATCACAGTTCACTGTGATTTTGTTCTATGTCTATTGGTAACCATGAAATCATTTATGGATGTAGAACTAAAATCACGTACCATGAGGTGATTTATCTAAAAAAGAGATTGAAATATTTTGAATGCACTTACAGAAGAAAACAAAGTATCAATCTCGGGCGATGTCCAGCCCTTGAAGGATTCGTGCGGCGGCGAGTGGCGGCTGCCCGCGCGCTGCGACTGGTCCGGCCGCGACAACAACACGTGCGACTACGTGGCCTCCTGGGAGTACCTCGGCCAGAGGCGGGGGAAGGACTCCGTCCGGTTCACCATCACCACCAGGCAAAGCAAGTACTGGACCGGGATCGGGTTCAGCGATAACAAGAAAATGGTAAGAATTTTCTGTTTTTATTATGTAACCTGTTTAAATTTTTCATAAAAAAATGGCCAACTGGCCCGCCGGGGAAGTCCCAGCTTTCTGTTACACAGTTCCGTTCCATTTGACAAAATTGCTCCTAAATATTGCAGGAAAGCGACAGGAATGTTGCCATAAAAAAGACACATAAAAAAGATTTGAATGCTTGTATTATGGGTTTTCATCATCATCATCATCTCAGCAGAAAAACGTCCACTTCATGACAGGCCAAGGTTTGCCACAACAATCGGTCCTGTGCTGCGTTCTAATAACTCGTAAAGAGTTATTAAAACCCATAATACAAGCCGTACTTAATTTGGGTCTAAATATCTCTGTTATATGGTCAAGAATATTATCGTTAAAGAATCGATAAACTGAGTTACGGCTCATGTAACCCGCTAGTTTATTTTACACCAAAAATCATCTATAGGACTATATCGTAAATCACGGATACCATAGCTTCACATTTTGTAAAAATGACCTTCTACATATTATTTCTACCTGTCTGGCTCAATATATTTCCCGTAGATGTAGACAGACACGGTGTTTTCAAAATAATAATGATGATCAGTTCAAAAACTAAAAGTACATCATCATCATCAACAGCCTTTAATAGTCCACTGCTGGACATAGGCCTCTCCTTAGAAAGGAGGTTTATCCGTGTGGTGACGGATTAAGAATACAGAGTGTCACCACCCCTATTCATCCCGTGGGTGTCGTAAGAGCCGACTGAGGGCGCAAACAGCACTGCAGAGAGAAGGAAAACTTGACACAAACCCTATACCAACCCGTCTGGCCAGCGTGGTATAGTAGACCAAAACCACTAAAAGTGCGATAGCTACAAATCACCAAAAAAATATTTTAGTTCTGTCAAATAGTACGTTTTCAGAAATACGAAACGTTATTTAACAGGACTAAACTTATTTTTAGTAGATTTTGGTTTAGTTTAGCGAGTTTTCAAACAACATCATTAACGCCACTGTAACAAATAACCACACAACCTTACAAACAGAATAAAAAACACGTGTTTATATTATCATTCGACGTAATCTTGATATAATAATATTCTTCCTGTGTTCCAGTCTCAGTCGGACGCTATCATAGGGTGGGTGGACTCCAGGACCGGTCGTCCCTTCATCATGGACACTTGGGTGTCGGGCTACTCCGCGCCCAGGGTCGACCAGCGACAGGACCTCAGCAAGGAGACCGGTAGTCTGGTGGATGGAGTCACCACTCTTAGCTTTGTGAGGAAGAGGGACACCGGTGATCAGAAGGTAATGAATAAGGGAGTTCTACTTACGTACTTATAACGAGTTTTATCGTCTCTGTCCAAAATTGTTTCAAACCAAAAATAGTTAACCGTGTGAGAGATATGCAAATATGAGTCGGCTCGACCGATATCACGGCCTTACAGAAAACCGGTGTTAAGTCAATCTTCGTTGCTTTTCAACAGGTGAGTGAGGTTAACAGAGGCCCAAACCAGCCCCCCCCCTCGTCCCTAATTCTGAGGGTGGGAGCACTCAAAGAGCGTTAAAGTTCGTTTGCCCCTCTCAACAAAGACTCACGCACTCACATGGTATATAACAAAATATTGGATGGTGTAAGTTTTTTTAGTATTTTTTTAAAATCCATGTTTGGCGGAAATAAGCGACAAAGACGTTTCATTAATAAAATTAATTGTCATTTTCTATTTTTCTTTTCTGCCAGTTCGGCAACTCAAGTTCGAAGGAAAATAATATCCTTAAAATCTATTTTTTTTTAATTTCAGGATTTGGCATTCACGGACAACCAATGTCTGTACATGATGTTCATAACCCAAGGTGGAACATTCGACCCGATGAACAAACGAACAAGCAAACACATGGTCACCCCCATCGTCACTGATGAGAGGGTTTGCATTAAGCCTTGTGGACCAGGTTAGTAACACTACACTTAAAAGGAATAGCTTTTTTATTCCTTTTTTCTTAAATTAATTATAATTTCGGAAAACTAGAACTTGTGGGTGTCGTAAGAGCCAACTAAGAGAGCAGCACGCAGGACAACAGCACTGTTAAGAGAAGGAAAACTTGAAACAAACCCTATACCAACTCGTCTGGCCAGCGCGATATAGTAGGCCAAAACCTCCTTTCTAAGGTGAGGCGTATGTCCAACAGTGGACTATTAAAGGCTGTTGATGTGATGTAAACTACATATACACACAAAGTTTCATTTCTGAACGTCGCGGCGATGTTTAAATTTGAAATTGACTTCTAAGAATAGTGTTGTCAGTTAGATAATTAGATAAAACCTATGAAAGCATAATTTTTGGACTGAATAAATCAATGTAACATCTCAAAATCTGTGAAACATATTTTAATTTTTATATGGTTTTATGATTTTAACTAACTTTAGGCCAGGACTTCGTCCGCTTGGTTTTTGACATCAGTCATCGTAGAGGATACAATAAATCAAGATTATAAGTATATGTATAAGTATATGGTTAAGGGTTGTTTTGAAAAATTAGTAGCAACGTTTTTTATCACTTTAATTAAGAATATTTACTGTGAGTAAAAACGCTACTACCAAAAATGACGAAGTTTCATATAAATTTACAACTCCCATTATTTTTTTCGCACCCCTTTTTTTTTAAGGTGTGGCATTTTGAAAAACCTTGGTGCATTCCTACGACATTAAGGTACATTTGTGCAAAATTTCATGCTTTTAGACCCAGCAGTTTCAGCCGTGTGTTGATTGATCGGTCAATGAATCAGAGTGTCAGTTGTTTCTTTTATAAATGTCAAGTCAAATTTCAAAATTATCGTTATAAAGTAACGTGTGACGCTTTATTTTTAAAAACCGACTTCACCATTTTGAAACATCAGTCGCAATCTATTCATCATCATCATCAACAGCCTATAACAGTCCACTGCTGGACATAGGCCTCTCTTAAAAAGGAGGTTTTGGCCTACTATACCACGCTGTCCAGACGGGTTGGTATAGGGTTTGTGTCAAGTTTTCCTTCTCTTTGCAGTGCTGGTGTCCTGCGTAGTTTGCTCCCTTAGTCGGCTCTTACGACACCTGCGGGATGAATAGGGGTGGTGTAATTCCGTTTTCTTAATCCGTCACCACACGGATAATCACGACGGGCGGACGGGCAATCTATTAAAAACTCGTTTTTGCCAGCGGCTTCGCTTAGGCTAATTTAGATTCAGACAATTGATGAAGTATCTCTCTGGAATAAAAATACTAAATAAAATAACGTTTAAAAATATGTATATATTATGTCGTTAGAACCTACCGATGAAGAATTAGCAACGGAGCCGGTGATCCCGGGCGAGACGGCCTACACCGTGAGGATCCGCCTCACCGGCCTCGCCGACAGCTACAAGCCGCCCGCGCCCGGCAGCAAGGACTTCGAAGACCTCAGCCGCCAGCTCGTCGACAGCTTCGCCTCGCTCATCTCCAGGAACAAGGGCTACCACGGACTTGTCGTCAACGGGTTCATGCAGTCAGTACACTACCACATACTAATTTTTTTCTTTCTTTTGGTTTAGAACATTCCTGTTTTTTGCGTCAGATGTTATAATTAGCTAACCTACGTCTCTCAAAACAAATTTTTGTTAGTTTATAAGATTAGCGAGTTCATCCAAGCAGACTAACAAATTTTTCAGGTTAATAATATTAGAATAAATTACGGCACGAATGGGCCGGCTCGACCGGAGTGATACCACGGCCTCACAGAAAACCGGTATTAAGCAATTCTTTCGTTGCGTTTCACTGAGTGAGTGAGGTTACCGGAGCCCAAATCCCCCCTCCCGCTGACTGGAGCGGGAGGGACTCCAAGGGCAGTAACGCACTTGTGACTTTTGAGTTGCAAGTGTCCATGGGCGGCGGTAGTTGCTTACCATCAGATGACCTGTCTGCTCGTTTGCCCCTTTATACCATAAACCAACAAAAAACCTGTTCTATTGCTAACTGTATATATATTAATTTCTATAAAACTAGTCCAGATTAAGATTCTAGTATCAATATAATTATTTAGATATTATTTTCTCATAGGAACGAGACAAAGGCCATCATCGCCGACCTGACCCTCAAATCTATAGAATCCAACACCATAGAAGGTTCTACAGGCCGAGCTTTAGACTCTACTCCAGTTAACGTCACAGAAGGAGAACAAGAGAGTGGGGCAGACCGTTGGGAGAAAGTTGTGAAAGAAACCCTAGCTTTAGGGAAGGTGGGCAATCTTAATGTGGATCCTGAGTTCCTGGTTTTCGTACCTCAAAGCTGTAAGTAGATATCGTTTGGGGAGGATTGGAAATCTTACCACGGGTCTAAAGACGCGTGGATTTTGTCAAGGTTGTTCCGTTCGTGGTTAGGAACAAATAGGTATGAGTGCTGGACATCTTCTTTATCAAAAAGGAGGATAATTAATGATTTCCTAGTTTGCAGAAAACCTGTCATAGATATGTAGGTTTGATAAGTAAGAAACGGTTTTACCATGTTTATTTTTGGGAATTAGTTTCTGATATTTCGGCATTGTTGCAAGCGCCATGATCACGGATGAACTACGTACCGATATACCGGAATTTTAAATTCTAACCTGTAGTTCCTGAGATTACTCTGAACATGAACTTACAAACTTTACCTCTTTATAATATGAGTAAAGACCTTCCCAGTCTCCTGTCTTATTCACTCACTCACTTTCGTAGATCACAAGATTTAAAAAAATAATGTTAGATTTTTTTTTAAATGTTCCTTTTATACAAATCTTTTTCTGACAATAACGAACACAAAAAAGAATTTTCTAATTTGGTGCAGTCGTTCGGCAGTTATGAGCGTACATACATTTCGGCGATTTATTTTTATTTATGACTTAAAAGTGTTCATGATTATTTAATTGTTAATTAATTCAACAGTTTGTTACTGGAGTTAGACGTTGGTTTGAGTCAGTTTGTTTTTTTAAATTTAATTCATTCTGAAAACATATGAGTATATTTGAAAGTAACTGAAAATATTTTGTTTACAGTGGTGTCTAACCGAGGTAATAATGAAGAGTCAGGTAACGCTCGGTCGTTCTTCGGTCTGGCGGAGACCAAGCTGTGGGTGGTGGTGGCCTGCGTCGTGGCGCTGCTGCTGGTGGCGCTGCTGCAGGCTGGCTGCACGCTCTACCGGACCAACAACACCACCGTCAAGACCAAGGTACAGCTTGGGTTACATTATAATGTTGGGGGGACGGGGTGACATATAATCGTTTGGTTTGGTTTGGTTAACGGACTGCTATTCCAAATCGCGGGTTCGATTCCCGCTCATGGTAAATATTTTTGGGTATGAACATTTAATGTTTGATTTGGTCTGAGTGTTTATAATAATACGCATGTATTTACTAAACAAATAGTACATATATGTATTTATATCAGTTGTCTAGTACCCATAGTACAGCTCTGCTTAGTTTGGGACTAGATGGCGTTGTGTTAATGTGTCAAAAAAAAATGATTACAGGAGCAACTGATCCCGAACTCTGCATGGAAGGACTACTCGTCCGCCAACACGAACTACGCCTTCTCCCCGTTCGAGAACGAGGAGAAATATAACAGCACGGCGTCCACCGCCCCCCTCCGCGCGCGCTCCGCCCCCCTGCGGCCCAGTGACCCCCCACCGCCGCGTCCCGCCAGCGCCATGTCAAGGGGCGGCCGGGCCACCCCCAAGGTACGGACCTCCATACTCTATTAGTTTTAACCTTCAAATTTTGATATGAAACATCTAATGGTGGCAAACTAGTTGCTGACGTGGTGACGCGTCGCCACAGAATGCGTCGCTACGCTCAGTTTGACGTTGATTTACGAGTGAAGCAAATCTTAAGTACATTCAGGTTTTACACATCTTATTATATTAAAATTTCTTTTTTTTTTCTTACTTTTCCTTAACACACATTATTTCTATAAATTAAATGTCAATATTACACATCTACCAGACGTACCAATAATATATAAATAGGGCAAACAAGCACACAAGTCATCGAGGCAAGATAGTAAGTGACCACCACCACCCATGAATACTTGCAACTTAAGAGTCCATCCTCTGAATCCCTCCCTAAAATCAGGCGAGGGTTCAGGCTCCAGCTCAGTTGAAAACAATGAAAGAAATGCTTATACATATAATCTGTTAATAGAGCCGGCCCACTTGTACTCACATGGCTCTCCCACGGTAGATCTTCTATATTCAATTATTCTCACCTAAGAAAAGCATATAAACCTAAAAAACCCTAAAAAAAATTCTTTAAAATACACAGCATTCAACTTATGTTGATAGGAAAAATACAGAGAATACATTTTATATGACTAGGTGGCTATCACATGTTTGAGGCTTACAACTATTCCAGGTGCAACACAAGGTGATGTCATATAGACCTGACTACGCTATCTGTGGTCGTGGTCATATATAACGTGGCGCTGACGTCATGGTGATCACTTTAATTTTAGGTTATTTATGGTACTAAAGAGAAGAGAAACTATCTGTTCTACGTAACCAAGTAGGCCTCTCATGTCTGAACTACATCGATAGCTTATGTTGATGAGCGCTGTACGCTGTGTCCCACAAAATAGGTGGACCCCAGCATTTAATGTGACTACTCTTATGCCACAGTAAATCTTGTGTGTATTACATATAACCAAATGTATTGATAACGCTATACATTAATCTATTTAAGTCGAACGGAGCTAACGGATCTCAGGGGGCCAACGGCTCGCAAGGAGTGAACGGCTCCCACTCGAACGGGCGCCTCACGCCCAAGCACCAGAACAGCGCCGCGCAGTACTACCACGACACCAGGTCCCTGCAGCGGCCCAGGCACGCCACGTCCCAGGGACCGCCGCAGCCACCCTACGGGTGAGATGGTTTACCTAACATTACATTACTAACATATAAAAAAAAACACCTGTCCGACACCTGTCCTTGTAGTGACGGACTAACACTACCCCACTACACCAATTCATCCCGTGGGTGTCGTAAGAACCGACTAAGGGCGCAAAACTACGCAGGACACCAGTACTGCAAAAAGAAGGAAAACTTGACACAAACCCTATACCAACCCGTCTGGCCAGCGTGGTATAGTAGGCCAAAACCTCCTTTCTAAGGAGAGGCCTGTGTCCAACAGTGGACTAGTATAGGCTGTTGATGTGATGTGTGTGAAAAAAAAAACATTCAGTTAGTTTTTATAACTGTAATTTAATTATAAAATAATTATATAGTCAGTCAAAATATCTTTATTTCATAAAAAAAAAAAAATTTTTGAACTCATCAACGCACAATAGCAACAATCTCTTTTATCAAATATTAAGCGAACAAATCTATATAAGTTTGTTTGTTTGTTACGCTTTCACGCTTAAACCACTACCCCTTTTTTTTTTAAATTCACCAATGGGAAGCAACATTATCAGCGAGTAACATAGGCTACTTTTTAATGTGATAACCGATATACACACGAGCGGAACCGCGTGCAAATGATCATCATCATCATCATCATCAACAGCCTTTACTAGTCCACTGCTGGACATAGACCTCTCCTTAGGAAGGAGGTTTTGGCCTACTATACCACGCTGGCCAGACGGGTTGGTAACGGGTTTGTTTCAAGTTTTCCAAATGATTTGATTCTGTTTTTTTTTGTTGCAAATGATAGTTATCTATGTATTAATATATGAAAAAAACCCATTGTCAGTACCCCTTGTTACATAAATATGGCGCACGGAAACACCATATCTGCAATACCTAAATAAAAGAAGTGCTTGCACTTGTAATAGCCTTGTTTACCACTACAGTGTTATGCAGCTGTATACTATATAGGGATATTTATTATACATACCTATACATAATAAAGGGGTAAATGTTGTACACATGTTACGAAAACCATACAATGACCTTTCAAGTTATAAGTACTGGTCAATGAACGAAACGAGATACCAGACCTGTGAAATTGGATTAAAAATTAAATTCACTTGAAACGGTGCTAGTATAAATGTTTTGTTTACTATGACTACCTATACCCACCACTGTATCTGAATTAAACCTTATTATGTAAGTAGCAAATCTTATATTGGTAAAGCAAAAGTTAATTTAGGTTTCTAATCCTAATTGAATAAAGGTGAGCTTGTTGAGGGTTAATGTTTTCTGCTTTATAAGATCAATAATTTCAAACATCTACTAATAAGACCGTGTGGCCTAATGGATAAGGCGTCGGACTTCGGATCCGAAGATTGCAGGTTCGAGTCCTGTCACGGTCGCATAATAACTTTTTGCGATATAAAATACCGTAATACCGTATTTGTGTGCTTTTAATGTATATTTAATATTCTTAAAGTATATCTTATTTATTATTGTTGTTTTAAATATACATATTTGTAAAACAAATTAATGTTTACCAATGTGGGAGGTATATAGTTTATATGCACATGGCATTTAAACTTACTTGTTGGTTTGGTTAGGCGAACATATAAAATGGTAATCGAGTAGGTTAACACATTGCAAGGTTAAACCATTCTAGCTAGGTCAGTCTGTAGATGGGTAACCGTTCTTAAAACATTGAGAAACATCCGTGCAAACATCTGTGGGTATCGTTACGGGTAGTTGGGAGCCCTGAAAAATCTAACACCAGTCTTTCTACAGAACTTCGATATCGCCTAGTTTTTGGTTAGTGGAGGTCTGAAGGCAGTCGTTCAGCTTAAAAAATCAGTCATATCGTGATAGACTGAACCCAACCTAGTTAGGAAAAAGGTTCGGAGGTTAAACGTTACCGTTAAGTTTATTACAGTAAAATAATAATAATAGTAACAACTTGACACATCGACTGATCCTAAACTAGGCAGAGCCAGAGCCGGCTCTAGTAGCTATACCTATACAGCTTATAACGTACATAAATAAATATTCAAAACCTAAATTTACCATAGATAAATTACATTACACCCACGTATAGAACAGATAATTAAATCTACATGTTATGTACTAGAATAGTAAGTATTTAGGTGCAACATAATGTATTTTTTAAACAACATTAAAAAATGGTAGCTACGAGTATTTAAATAAACCCGAACTTACAATATAGTAGTTTTTATTCTATAAAAAACATTTTTTAGTACCTATTAGGGATTATCTAAAGTTATAATTTTAAGCTATTGCATAGCTTCTATCGAGGGCCTTGAGCGCGGGGACCGAATTCAGAAATTCCGTAAAGAAAAAAAACCTCACGCTAAAAACAAAACAAAAAACAGTATCAAAATCAAATGCTTAACGTCAAAGGAAATTTCGTCAACATAATGTAGAAAAATCTTACATGGATATGTAATTTGATTTAATAATAATATTTTTTATTTATTTATTTAAAAACAAATTGTAATATATGCTTCAATATTTTTATTTAATAAAAGAAAAAAAATTGTTTTCTTATCGGTCACCACGCTCAAAAAGTGTAACTTGAATTAATATCAAAGAAAAATAAATACTGCATAAATAAAATAAATAAATAATTATAATTGCATAAGTTGATACAAAATGCTATGCAATAGCTTTACCGCGGCAGTCCCCGAGTGCCACACGTCTTTTTTTATTTTACAACACTCGTGTCATTGTTGGTATTGTCATAATCGCTAAGTGTGCCTGTATTTTAGTATATATGTAGTAATAAAGAGATAATCGAAGTGTTGAATGTTTGTCCAGTGCGAGTGGCGGGTTCGGCGCGCGAGCGGACCGCGCCGCGTACTCACTGCCGCGCGGACGCGCCGAGGGCCCGCGCGGCTCCAACCCTGACTTCTACTTCATGCCGTCGCAGCGCAAGTACGAAGGTGAAGTTGTTAGGGTTTACGTCAACTATAACGATCGGAAACAACAGGGGCTGCAGTAGATAACCCTGGATTCGATGGGGTCGTCGGGTGTTTAGTGGGGTCGACGGGTGTTAGAGTATATTTTAAGACATTTGGGGGCTATAGTTTGAAATTTGGTACAGCGTGTTCCTCAACCGGTTTTTGTAATGTATGAACAAGTGCAACCAATTTATTAATTTATAAAAATATGTAAAAAGAAAACCAGTATATTTAAAACCCGTAGAACCGAGGTGTAATTGTTTATACATACCCAGATGTATAAACAATTGTATACGCTGTATCAAATTTAGTAGTCCTCATGTTTGATATACCGTTAACCCTATCGAGTGTTACAAAAATCGGTACAAAACTTAACATACAACACTTGACAAATTTTGTATAAGTCACAGTACTGTAAGTGGGTTCGGTGGGTTTGTGTAGAATTTTATTATTTATTAATATTGCATGGACTGGAAATTCAGACGAATATAATGCATGTATTGTGTAGTTCTAAGTATTAAATGTACACCTAATACTATCTAAGGGTACACTTGAAGTCAATAAGTGAGTACATTCTTTTCTCGACACACTGTACTCGACAGTACTCACTTATTCCCTTCACTTATTATATATCAATAACAATTTTTAAAACAGCTTAATACACTAATTTATTTATTTAAACATGCTTTAGACTGAATCAAAATTTTCTAGATTTTTAATTTATATTAAAGGAATAAAATGTATGTATATTAGTTATTTAGAAGAAAAAAAAATACATTTAGGACTGAAGTTAATGACGGATCGAAAGTGGGAAGGGGTTTCATTGACGTTTGTGCTAGTACACAAGACAAAAAAAAATTTGAGGGCGTATTGACCCCATGGCTTTCTATACCGTCTAGATTGTTGGATTTGTCTAATATAAAACTACAATAGGAAATATTTATATTAGACACTTGTGAATCAATTATAATAATAATTTATTATTTCAATCATTGTACTGATTTAGTACTAGCTAAAAAAAAATGTCATCAATGATACAGTTTGCTTTAAAATATTTTAATAAATGCTATACAAGTAAGTAATGCTTGATAATATATATGTACTGTTAATACAGGAATATTATTTAATTTTGATACCTGCTTAAATTAAATAAATCTAATTGTAGGGAATATAATTAATGCTTTTAATGCCAGTATTTTATTTATTAATTTATTAAATCAACAAAATATTTTTTGTATCAGAAAAATAAAATAAAAAAATCTTATAAGGTGTAGTATTAATAGTTATTACACTTATTACTGAAACTAGACGCTTTTTTTATTTATTTATAACATTTTTTACTCGTCTAAAAAAAAATATTTTATGAATTAAAACTGTAATTAATTTTATAATTTTAATACGTTTTGTGTATGTTATTTTTATTATAAAACTGGTTTGTAATATATTATCTGAATATTTTAGCACGCTCTCAGTATAAGTTCTGCTTTCGTAAGAGTTGTACACTCAAAAAAAACAGTTCGAGTTATACAGATTAGTATTGCCAACTCCTACACTTGTAACTCTTTTACAATAAGAAAATGAGCCATCGCGGGACGTCTCACAGTATAGTGTCGTAATTTTGTAGAAATAACTCACTTGCTTCGTCAACTTGCACAGACCGCATGACGCCACACCGCATGACATGTTACATATACATCACATAGCGACGCGTCGCCACGCCAAAAGCCGGTGTGCCCCTTCGCATTAAATGTTTCACATCAATAGTGCTCATTGATTATCTAAAATTCCAAATAGATTTTTAAACTTTTGAGGTTTTTAATGAGTCTCTTTAAGTTGGCAATTCTGATACAATTTAGCTTACTCTAATATTGTACTAGTAGTTATAGTTTTTATACCATATTTATATTGTTGTAAATATTGAATAAGGTGTAAGTTGGCATGGCTTTCATTTGCTTGAGATTTTATTACCTGTTGACAGTTAAAATTAGATGTCTGAGTCATTTTAAATGAAAATTTGATCAGTATTCTTTCTTAGAATTTTTACAAATATACTAAATGTAAGTTGTTCATTGATCCGTGTGGTGACGGATTAAGAATTCGGAGTCTCACCACCTCTATTCATCCCGTGGGTGTCGTAAGAGCCGACTAAGGGAGCAAACTACGCAGGACAACAGCTATGTAAAGAGAAGTAAAACTTGACACTATACCAACCCGTCTGGCCAGCGTGGTATAGTAGGCTAATACCTCCTTTCTAAGGAGAGGCCATGTCCAGCAGTGGATTAGTAAAGGCTGTTGATGTGATAATGATGGTGTGAAGTGATTTAAGGAAATACAACTTTTTTTATGGTTTAGGAGGAAATGAAAATGGAACAAAGAAAAAAAAAGATAGACGAAACTCTAGGCTCGTCACTTGAATTCTCTGTTATTATAAAATCAGTTATGTATATTTAACGTTGATAAATTGAATTAAGTTATCTGTACTGTTACACAATATTTATTTAATTAAATCTGATGGGTTCATGACATTTTCATGTCATGACGTTGTTATTTTTCTACTTTATAATCGATTAAATCTCCCTCTAAAACGGAATCGATAAATATATTTATTCGATTCGATTAGCATATCGAATTACTAATCGAGCAAGACAAAATAATGGATAGAGCACAAATATATAGTTTAGCTATATCTCCTTTAATTTGATTGTTTCGACGAATACTGAAATGTCGTGTAATGGTATCATGAGGCTATAGCTTGCGCTGTAAACACTGCATCAGCTTTTGTACAGGGTTGTGATTGGCTATTTTAAATTGTAAATGCACTGTATTCGATTATTATACAACATTACTTTTTAGAGTTACCTACATATCTATTTAAAATGTGAAAACCGCGAAGAAATTCTCACAAATAATATATATATGCATAAATTTGTTGTTTTTAACTCTCTTAACATCGTTTTTAATATTACGCAATTATAAATTATAACATTTATCCCATTAAGTGTTGTTACTTAATGTTAAAAAGGTGCATTTATCATTTATATTGCCGGGCAACACTTTAGCTTTCAACTTAACGCCATCTAGTGACATTAGATAGAACTGGTGCTGCTTGTGAACTTTATTATCGAAAATAAAATTGGTGACGCGTAATATCATAATAATTTACACGTAAATTTACAATTAAACTAACTAATTATTGAACTAATTGGCTTTTAAAAATTAACAAAACTAAATAAACTTCAACTAAAATATAAAATTAGAATAGTGTTATTTTTTATTATAATAAAACAATAGTAATTTGAGAATCAAATAAAATTTAATTAAAAACAATTGCAATTAGTAACATTTGCCCATCGGTTTGTTTGTTTACAGATTTTTGAAGGAGACTGCGGTGAAATCTGATTACATTTAGTTACCAACCTACTTAATTCTACATCTAAACGCACCGACGTATTTTTAAGATTATTTTATTATTTTTCACAGTAACATTTTTTTTATAATATTATATTTCCAAACCAGATCTAGTCTCGTGTCACAGTTTTAAAAATAAGTTATTTTGACATCTAAATGTAATTATATGTACTTAATTATGTTATCTTCTGTCCTACAAATGTATTGTAAATATTATGTAAACAATTCGCTGTAAATTGCACAATTAGATAAGTTTACGAATTATTTTAATTTTAAGACTATTGTTGACCCACAGCGTCGTCGTACTACTTAAGGGCGTATACACATTTTATTACATGGCGCTTACGCCATTTTAGCCCCGAAGGTATTTTCAGTGAACGGTAAGGACACTTAAAAAAACATGGGCTCTGAAAACCGATTACAAATGGGGTACGATGAGGTAGATGACTGTCGAGTCAAATCAGCATCTTTTTATTAAACGTCATTTTTGTATGATATACTATGTAGTGACGTCACACCTAGCTGTCAAATCATTTATATTTAATGTGGATTTAAAGAAATAAAAAGAATAACAACATTAAATCGATAATGAAAGAGAATTCAGGCTGTACTTGAAGATGTCACATTAAATGGTTGTAAAGAAATAATTTACTTTAAAACTAGGAATCTACCCTCATTTTTATTAAAGTTTCGTGCTGGACAGTTTGATGAATATAAAAATGTTATGTCGCCTATCTACAATGAGTTGTACTACATGGACAATTGACTAACTAATTAAATATAAAATAAAATAATATCAATTAATACGTTATTTTCTTAGTACAAGTAATCACGTTATAAGTAAAAATGTATGTTTTCATTTGTCATTACAAACATGGTTTCTTGAATTTAGACGTATGTTGTAATATATATACAAACTGAATTTAAAACATGTCTGTCTGAACTAATTTAGAACATATAAAGAGCCATTGGAGAGCCTGGTTTCACTTGAACATAAGGCAGATTGAAATTAATCAGGTAAGAACAATTTACGGCCACCATTTTGTGTATTTTTTTTTATTTGATAACATAATTAAAAGGCTTGTATTCAAATGCTAAATAAATAAGAAAGTCTGGTAATGCAACAGAAAAAAAGAAGTCGTTAGCTAATCATCATCATTATCATGCTTATGAACGTGTTGTAAAAAAAAAACAATAAATAAACTGGTCAAATTGAAAATGCAAATTTACTGTACAAAATTATCTGTTTTCATAATAATTAATAAGGGGCTCGTGGCTAAGTGGTAACCGAGTAGAATAGCACATTGCAAAGCTAAGCAAGCTTAGCTAGGTCAGTCCGTGGATGGATGACCATTCTTAACACAGTAAGACCCCTCCGTACCTCAGAACACACATTAAGCCGTCATCGTCGGCCGCTTATAACACACAAACGTTACGGGTCCTTGGAGCCTTAAAAATTCCGACAACAGTCTATCCACAGAACTTCGATATCGCCTAGTACTTGGGTTGTGAGGGTCTGATGGCACTCGTTCCACGTCGAATCGAAGTTCGGCCGTGTCGTAGTGGACTGAAAAGTCAACCTCAACCTAGTTTGGGGCAAGACTCGGAGGATGATAATGATTAAAAAACATTTCTAACCATTAATATAATATATATTCACACATCTCACACACGGCCATCTGATTCCAAACTAGGCAGAGCCTGTACTATGGTAACCAGACTGCTGATAAACATACTTATATTTTTTTTTTAAATACATACATATTATAGATAAATTACACCCAGACACAGAATAAATGACCGTGCTCAACACACAATATTTGTTCTGGGTGGGAATCGAACCCACGACTTCCGGTTTAGCAGTCAGGGTCACTAACCACTAGACCAACAGGCCCGTCAATAATAGTGTAATGTTTTCTTAAAATATCTGTTACTTTCTTCAAGCTTCTTAGTTAGTTGGAAGTTTCCGTAGACGTAATAAAATAACAAATTAAAATATTCATTAGATTTTAATGATAATAAAAATATTTTTTTTTTTTCTCAACAATCAATACTTCAGATTTGTAAAGGCGACGCTGTGTCCTGCCTAACTTCGCTGTAGCACTTTGTGGTTGAATTGATGAAAATTGACAAACAAAACTGACACGAAAAATAGATAAAAAACAATCTTTAAAGCGTGTTGTATATCGTGTCAGAATTTAAGCTCAACGGAAGAACTATCAGAGTTTTTAAGGCGTACAGAAACAAACCAATTTTTTTATAAAATTTGGGTTTGATTCTCGTGGGTATCTTGCATAGAGATAATATAAATTAAGGAAGCGAAATGTATATTCCTCTGTAAGTGATAGCATGCGGCCGCGAGACAGAGAAAGAAGACTGGTTTGGTCTTTCATCTCTCTTTGCTCGCTGCAGTAATTGGCTGCTGCTTTATCATGTTATAGTAATAATCAATAATAGCCAATCAGCGATAAGAGCAGAGAGAGATGCAAGACCAAAACAATCCTCCTCTCTTTACCAACCGCATGCGATAGTGCCTTGGTCGCTTCCTCTAACATTTATAAGCTCTGGTATTTTGAGGGTCTCGACTAGTTTCCTACCTGAGGGTGAATGGAGAACCTGACATCAATGCGTAAGGTCCCTAGTTGCGGCATTTTTATACACAACACGATCTAATTCGCCTAAATGCTCGTAATTTTATAAGGCGTTCGTATTCACAAATAGTAGTAACATTATTAATCGTGATGAACGTAACCCAATAATTCAGGTGATAATATCAACCTCTTTTATGCGAGCAATATGAGGTATTACGTAACATCGTAAGAATCTGAACATATACGTGTGGTGACGGATTAAGAATACAATGTCACCACGGCGTGACGCGTGTGTGTGTCGTAAGAGCCGACTAAGGGAGCAAACTAAGCAGACAACAGCACTGAAAAGAGAAAGAAAACTTGAAACAAACCCTATACCAACCCGTCTGGCCAGCGTTGTATAGTAGGCCAAAACCTCCTTTCTAAGGAGAGGCTTATGTCCAGCAGTGGACTAGTAACAGCTTTTGATGTAAGAATCTACAGTACTGTTATGTTTGGTCATACAGAAGAACCTGTTCATGTGGCTAAGCGAAAGTGCGTATAAAGAATAAAATCTCAGGCAAATGAAAGTTTTATTCTCTATTTCTACGTGTACGTACGTAAAATCTATTGCGTGTACGCAAGTATAAACTAGCTCCATCTATAATGAAACATGGAAACTAATTTTATTGATAGGTGTTGAGTAAGTAAAATAAGGAATATAATATTAATAATATATTTTTACAAATTATTATATTTAGAGAGAAATATATTTTAAAAGTGTTTTTGTATAAAATTCCTTATTATTAGACTAGAATTTAATTCAATTTATTTTTGTACCTAAATGATCAGTGATCATAGTAAAGGAATAAAAGACAGTTAATATAATTTAATGGAACAAATCAGAATGGATACATATATGATATAACCGTCATTAGTATTACACAATAGGTTTAAGTTTACGGTACCTAAGATGTAAAAGAAATACAATTACTATTTTTAAATATCATTTGATTTTATTTCTTAACAAAATAACATAAAGTTAATCCTTTAAGTACTTAAACACTTGGTCTCTGGTCACCTTACTCGCTCGGTGAAAAGTAACGAAAGAAATACCTAACACCGGTTTTCTGTGAGGCCGAGGTATACTCCGGTCGAGTTGGCCCATTTGTACCGCAGTATGGTTACATTTGTCGAGTACAATAAAATCTCTGTCAAAATAAGGAATAAATAGTTTCCATTAAGATTGTGTGAGAGCATGCCTCTCCCACAGTTACAAAAGTTCTAATCTTCCAGTATGTTCCATGATCTTCTAGAAGTTTCTATAAGAATCGGGATAAATACGCTAAAATTATATTATATATGTCCATCACCACCCCTATTCATCCCATGGGTGTCGTAAGAGTCGACTAAGGGAGCAAAACTACCCAGGGCAACAGCACTGCAAAGAGAAGGAAACTTGATACAACCCCTATACCAACCCGTGACGTCTGGTCAGCGTGGTGTAGTACGCCAAAACCTCCTTTCTGTGGAGAGGCCTATGTCCAGCAGTTGACTATTAAAGGTTTAATGCATTGTATAAATTGACATCACACCTGAATAGATTATCTATTAGTAGTTTTGTCCTTTCCTATTTAATATTTACTTTACTTATACAGCCGAATAAAGGATATTTAAGCATACAAAAAATTATTATTTAATCACGCTTTCATCATTTTTAAATCAGATATATAGCTATTTATACATATAGATTTTTATTCTTATAAATTACTCTTAAACCCTCTCACAGTTTTCAATTTCATTTTCCACAAATCCTGAAAAAGAAATTTTATTATAAAGTTACGAATACAAACATATTAAGAATAATAAAAAAGTAAACTTTTTTTTTTTAAATTGTACGACATTTACACAACGCCATCTAGTCCCAAACTAAGCAGAGCTTGTACTATGGATACTAGACAACAGATATAAATACATACATACTTTTTTTGTAAATACATACATATTATACATAGAAACACCCAAACCAAATCAAACATTAAATGTTCATGCACACAAATGTTTGACTTGAGCGGGAATCGAACCCGCGACCTTTAGATTAGCAGTCCGTAACACAAACCACTACGCTATCCGTTCGTCAATTTTACTTGGTAGATTGCTGTAGCAATGTGACCCATTAGATAATAAGTGTAAAAACAGAAATCTTAAGTAGTATATCATTTATTTTAACATTTGAGTTTACGTCATGACGGGCCTGCTGACTGCTAATCAAGTGGTCTCCAGCTGACTGCTAAGCCGAAGGTGGTGAGGCAAACAACTAAACAAATGCTTATGAACGGTTTTCTATGAGGCCGTGGTATTAGTCTAGTCGAGCCAGCCCATTTGTGGACCGAAGAAAGGTTCTCAGGTTGTTGAAAAATATTTGGGCGGTATTTTATTTTTACACTGCAATACAATTTGCTCGAAGTGGACTTAATGCCACATGGCGTAATCTACCAGTCAACCTTTAGATGGTTCAGTAAGAGACATGGCATGTGCATATATACAATGGAAAGTAGAAAAGAAGCTATTAATTAAATACAAAAACAAAAATTACAATTAATAGTGCTATTTAAAAGTATATAGACGAATACACAAATACATAGTTATGTTATATACATACAGAATAAAATAATAATACCGTTCAAATACGTTTAGGTATACAATAATAATATATATTGTTCGTTGTATTGCTCGATGAGAGACGATATCTGTAGAGAGATCTGTGTTCGACCTAATTAAACATAGTGATTACCCTTATAAAATGATGTAAAGGCGATCTTTAATCACTTACCATAAATTTAAAATCGTAATTTTGCCGCCTCAAATGCTTTTCAACCATATTTGCCAGTTTTTCTTGATTACTCCCTGTGACGTCGAAAAAGTGACAATTGCTGTTGACATAGTGGCAGGTTATAGCCTTGCGATACGTCTGTGAACATACATTGTTAGTATAGGACCACCGATCAGAATAATTTAATAATAATATAAATTAATAACGTCAGACATCTCGTACACGGCCGTCTGATAGAAAAGTCAGTTCTAATTCTAGCACTAATAATCCTTTAAAAAGAAGTTGAACCGACTTCAAACAAAAAAACAAATCTAAGTGAAAAAACTATAATAGGTGCGACTCTTAATAAATCAGGTAACATTATGATAGCAGTAGTCCCTTCTAGTCAGCACAATCAATAATACCTACTGGTCTATGTCAGCTTTTTATCAGTACAATAACGAATTAAGAATTCAATATAATTCTAATAAAACATCGCAGGTTGTGTTAAAAAGCTAGCGTACAAGCTCTGCTTAGTTTGAAATCAGATGGCGTTGTGTGTTAGATGTCCGAAAAATTATAATACAATGTTTTAAACTACTTTGAAATATGAACTTATAAAATTAGAGAAAAAAACATTCTTACATTAGAAAGGTTCGGCATGGACCCATGAATAATTGTGGAACTTATGAAGACGGTGTCGCCAGGATCCAAGATTAAACGCACTCGCTTATGATCCGGTGCCATCGTTTCGCAATTGGCTATGGAGAAGAAAAATGGCTTCCCGTCCTGAAAATAATGAAAAACTTGAAGGTTTATTTGTGCGTTGTCTTCATAATAAGTAGAAATATTTGTGTCAAGATTTTCATTTTAAAAAAAATGAAACAATTTTGTATCAACAGCAACTATTTTTGTATTATAGTTTAGCCAAAACCTAATTTCTAAGGAGGAGAGGCCTATGTCCAGCAGTGGACTATTAAAGGCTGTTGATATTATAGTTGGATTAATCAAAATTTAAATAAACCGATGTTAAGAAGAATCCCGGCAGAATTATTGAGTCGGAGGAAGAGAGGCCGCACCTCGTGAGATGGCTACTGGATCAACAATTTACAATATTTGAACCAATATTATTCTTAATAATTCTAAATATGATCTTTCCTGAGACGTGGACACAGTCAGCGAGACGATTAAAATAAACTATTACTTACATCAACCATGTGGTTATGCTCTAACAACTCCCAGGATTTATGAGACCCTGGTATCATGAACAGGCATCCGTTTTCTTCAGTGACGGGGTCTATAGCTGTCCAGGAGGCCAGGATTTGCTGTGCAGGCCGGAATGGAAAGTACAGAAGGTCCTACAAATAAGTATAAGTTCTTATGTACCATATGAGTTTTTAGGCTTTATTTCCCGAAATGGCCGGTTGACATTAATAGGCGTGATGCCTATTCCATGAATATCTGTACTAATGTTTACTTTATTATAATTAATTTACTATACTAAGTACTAATGTTATAAAGAGAAAAAGTTTGTGAGTTTTTATGTTAGAGGTAATCTCCTGTACTACTGATCCGATTTTGCAAATTCTTTCGCTGTTAGGTATTTTAATCCCTGAGTGCTATAGACTAATTTTTACCGCGATAACCGATATATACGCGGGAGGAGCCGCGGGCAAAAGCTTGTATTTTAATAAATGGATACGAGCAGCAGATTGTTCTGCAAATAATCGTCCATTTTAACCGAACTCAATAAAAAAGAGGTTCTAAATACATTTGTATATTGTTTAAGTTTTGTTACCTCAAAACTCCGTAAGTTATTACTCGTTTAAAAAAAAATATATTTGAAAGAATTTTCCTCTCGGTTGCACTCAAATTTGAAAGCTTCCACTAAGGGTCAAAGTTAATCTATGAAGAATACAGTTTATTACAATGTATCAGGATGGTGTTACATTGAAGTTGGTAATACTTCTCTTAAAAAACCTAGATTATTACAAAATACCGTGAGGTTTTTTGCAAGAAAATTTTGTTGTCTGTCCTATTCGGTAAGACGTTACAGCTTGGCAGATTCTGAGATGTCAGGAACAACTGTAATAGATAAACTAATAGATTCATATACCTCTTACCTGGTGTGGGTAATGTGTGTTAGTTCCTGGAGGTTTATTAATCAACATGCCGTTGATAACAGACAAATCTTGTCCAATAATTTGTGAAATGACATGCAGAAGTCGGGGGTTTTCTGAGTATGTACTGAACACCTCGTCGTACAAAATATCTTGTATCTACAGGTGTACAAAGACATTATAGCAATTAGTTTTCAAGTTTTAACCTGATTGTACTCTATTAATTCTTCTTAACTTAAGCTTACATTTGATGAAAGATTTTAATGGTGGGTATAATTAAAGTCCATCGGTGAATGGAAACGGAATACAACGCGAACCCCATCGCTTACTGCCAGGGTCGCCATGTAAGGAAGGGTGTCCAGAGAGAAAAATGTTGTTAGTTCAACGATCAGATTTATTCTCCAGTAAATACAATAGTAATCACTACTTTTATATTCAGAATGACATACGTATTAATACACTACAGTATTCAAGAAAGTAGGACAAATCAATTGTCAGTTGAAAAAAAATTGCTCTATAAAACCACATTTACGAGTAGGTAAGTACTCGTAATGTTGGGCATCGCTGCTGTTTTCTAGAAAGCAAATATAGGTAAAATTCGGTTAACTTCACCCTACATGACTTCTAATAGACTTAGCTTGATTCTAAACCAGATGTAAGTAAATCAGAAGTATCTACAGAAGATTTGCAATTACATTTGTCAATTTAAAAGAAGATGAAAAGAGATGCATTTGAAATCAAGTTAAATAGCTCCTTGTAATATCAAAGCAATTGGGTCCATCCAAAAACTACACGTTTATCGAAGAACTTTGACGTAACTTTACGTTTCTACTGTTTAAAGTTCAATTTTCAATACTTTTAGGATTCATATTTACATAATAACAATATTGCAGAGAGAGAGTCTCACCTTGTTGATATAAGTTTCTGGTTTAGAGTTCTTGTCGAATAAAGAGAGGTCCTTGACTACTGTTAGAAGATTTCTTGATACTTTCCCGTCGCACACGTCTCTGAAGCGTTGTCTAAAAACACACCAGGTTTTTTAAACATTAACATTCATCAAAAAAGTCTAAGCTACACGCAACATTTATAGAAAATGCATGTTAACGCGCCGGCTCATACAGCTGCTAGAACCATGGATTATTTGAATACTTCGGGGGTACAGATATTACCTACTCTATCCTCCACACAGCTTAGTTTTAGCTCGATTCGATTTTTTTGTTTACCCGGTAAAAAAATGTTTTGTGAGTAAAAATGGTGGCAAAAAAGTTAACACTGCAGAAGGGACCTTCAGTCAATTTCAGGATTTTTTGTATGTTATACGCAGTATTTTCACTATCTGCAAATAGATTTCAACAATGATTTTTGTCATTAATTTAAGAACTTGTACTTCCCAGTCCCAGTAAATTTGAAGAATTATCCTTTTAGCTGTAAAAATTGTTAATATCAAGAGATGAACTATAGGTACAACTCGTCAAGATTTAGACGCATTAACGTCGATAATTTGAAGTTTTTAAAGTGAGCCGATGACAATGTTCCAGTGGCTCAGGGCACAGATAGCCTGAGGAATAACTGTTCATCTCGACTTGGCTTGCATTTTAGAAGAGGAGTACTTTAACAGAAACCCCTACTTAAACCGTTACCTGTAGCTCTCCAAAGCTGGTAGATCGATCAGTTTTTTGATCACGAGGTAACCATTTTCCTCGTAGAACTGTATCTGTTCAGAAGAAAGCTCATACGTTTGAGATGGGTCTTCGTTTACCCTGTAACATAAAAAAATCATTAAAGAGTTGAGCTATAGTTACCTACTGGCTGCATGACCAGGCCATCTTGAAAGTCCGCTTTAACCAGCGTGTCATCGGCTTAACAAATAAAGCCTAGCCCGGGGGGAGACGACCTCAGAAGAGCCCAGTCGTATCCCATGTTCCACAAAATTTTGGAGAAGATCATGAATAGAATAGGCTATTGCTTAATGGGTAATAAACCTTATTTGTTGCAAAATAGAGGATCCAACTTTTTATGGGACACCAATCACGTCTATCACATAATTCAAACGGCAACGTTGGCCTTAAAGTCCTCAAACAAAAGATTACCTTTTAGGTTGAATTCGAAAGCTTCTGAAAGCCATCACAGCCACGAGGAATTCCACAAACTACTTCTTAATATGTTCACTGTCTACCGTCCGCAGTCAAACTGTGCTTAGATACCAAAATGTCAAAGATATTCAATTAACCAATTATAATTTGGGTAGGAATAGTTTGACTGTTCATTATCATAATAAATCTGACCTCAAAGTAAATAGACGGACATCATTCATACAGGGTGTTGTAGAAAATTGTGATTGAACTTTAGTATTTTTATTTATAGGAAAATTCGGGATTATTAAAATGGAAATAAGTACGGCTCGATAGGTATTAAGTATATAGCATATTATAACGATTGGGCTGATAGGCAGGGGAAGCTCGCGGCTTCCCGAGGATAGGGCCTTACTAGGCGCGGCGTCGATCCGGGGGACCTGAAATACCATGGTCCGGTCCTCCTCGGAGTAGGACGCTTGAGTCGACTGGTGGTTTTTAGTGGTAACACCACATACTTCTGGCTCCTGCGTCCCCAAGGAGCCCAAGGAGTCGGAGAACCAAAGGGATTTTCTACCCCGTCAGCGAGATATTAAGTATACCTACACTTTTGAATTCTCTGACGTTTCGACCTGGTTGGGATGCGATACCACAACATATGAAACGCGATAGTTTAAAGTTAAAGTGGAAATCTTCTCTTAGAACAGACAGAACTTAAAATTGGCTGATAAAGCTAGATTTGAGGGTAATAAAAGAGTCAACTTGAAAATAACTATGTTTTGATGTTGTTTAACGATCTGAGTTTCGTGAAGTTGGCATATAAAATTCGTTTCAAATATATTAGAAATTGGCCATTATAGGAAAAATAGATTAATGTGGGTTTTTTGTCAATTCCTTGTTGAAGTTAAGCTACTTTAGCACCGTTGTGATTTGAAAATTCGATAAAACGAAAAAGCGACCATAAAAAGAGACAAACATTTTCATAAATAAGATTTAGCCTGCGAGAGAATGAGATAGATTACAAGTATACAGTGTTTTCTGTTATCTTCGTCTATATCTATGTTATCACGTGTCTTTGCGTCTGCGTACAACGAAGCCTTCAGAAAATGTGTCATAAACAACGTGGCGTATCATTCCCGTGTTTTATTTTTTGCATTTGTGTATTAAAATACATTGGTTAATTTATTTATTTACTAATTAGACCAATAATTTTGAAGTTTAAACTTCTTTAGGCGCGTTGGGCATTTTTGAACAACAAACAAAACAATGTATTTTATTTTAGGAAAACCATTGAACTCGCATCGCTGTTACCGTTACCGAGACTTTATATATATATATATATATATATATTTAAGTATCTACATATATTGGCTCCTTTTACACGAGAGTTGAGTTACGGTTGAAACATATATTCATGTCGGAACTTTCCAATCTAAAAAAACATTTTTTTTCCTGTAATAATCTTTTTTTTTTTCAAGTTTTCGCTTCTGTCGGCACTCCCGGAGTGCCATTGTTTTTTTTGTATAAAAAAGGTATTAATATTAGTAAATTATTTGTATTGATTTCACACAGTAATGTGTGTGTATATTGTGTATTGTTTTAAATATAATATTTTGACAATGTGATTTTTTTTATCTTTTTATTTCATAAAATATTCTTTTCTGAAGTTTCACTTCTGCAGTGTGTGAATTGCACACATTACTTTTTTTAAACTAATTTAACTATTTTTCCATACCTATATGACACTAAAAACTGTAACACACCTTACTACAGTAAGTCCAGTACCTCACACCTGCGAATACAATATTAATCATTGCCTAATGTGTCCTAAATACATGCACGTGCGTATTAGTAATTTAACGTTTACAAAATGTTCTTGCATATTTATGTTTACTCTAATTAAATATCCCTTATATTTAATTAGAGTAAACATAAATATGCAAGAAGGCAAATCGCCTTTAATTCGTTGTAGTACTACGTTGTTCCTTGGTTTTTCTTCATACACTCTATTTATAAAACGTATTGTAATATTTGTTATAAGAAATTTCTATAATTTGAAGAAAAACAAAAAAAATATCGAAAGGAAACTCTTCGACAGTGAGTAACCGACATCGCACGAAGAATCAGTACGCTGGAGTGAACGTGGGCCCGGTCATGTCTCCAGATGGACTGATGGTCGCTGTAGCCGAAATGTGCTAGAGTGGAGAACGCGTTTGGGGCGATGGCATCCTGTCAGCGGCTTTTATTTGCAACGCCTTAATCCTGTTACGTGATACCTACCCCCTACATAGGTCCAAGGTGGTCCAGGTGTTCACGCCTCCCCGGTTCATCTTTATATAGAGACCAGACGTCGCTTCGACTTTCCCAGAATTTTTCGAAACGCTTTGTCTCTGTGCCTCATTGCCTCTCGAACGTCTACCGACATCCAGGGGACTGGAGAGCGATTTAACCTTTTTAATTGGAGCATTTTGTTCGTAGAGGTTAATTACAACACTGTCGAATGCGTTACTGAAGTTCTGCGTCCTTATCTCCAACTGCTATTGACTGGTTTCGAAACTACCTGCTTGGTCTCCCGCAGCGCATTGGTATTGAGAGCATTTCTGTTTGCAGGGCGGCGTGCTATCTCCCCTACTTTTCTCTGTTTTTATCAACACTACACTAATGATCTACCTTCTTCCTACCACCTATACGCGGATGATCTCTAGATTTATTCTTGGGCTACGGTTGATCTGGCTGATGCTGTTAGCACCACAAACGTTGACCTAGATAAAATATGTAGGTAGAGCAACTCCCACGGTCTGAAAATCAACCCAACTAAAACTCAGGTCATTGTAGTTCGGGCACGCCGTCATCGCGGCGGTAAGACCCGTTATGGAGGATTGGCTCGAGAGGCGTCACGGGACCCTCTCATACCGACTGACGCAGGTGATCACTGGGAAAGGATGTTTCGGGGATCACCTGTGTCTGATCCGCAAGGAGCCAACGCCTGAGTGCCACCACTGCGATGGCCAGACCGTGGACAAGGCTCTCCACACGCTGGCAGAGTGCCCGGCTTGGGTTGAGCAGAGGCGAGACCTCGTGGCGGCCATCGGAGTGGTAGTTCTCTCGCTCGATAGCCTGATTGCGGCTATCGTGCGGAGCGAGAGTGCGTGGAACTTTGCCGTCTCCTTCTGCGAGCAAGTTATGCTCGCGAAGGAGACGGCGGAGCGGGACCGGGAGAGGTTTAGGGCTCTCCCGGCCCGCCAGGCCCGGGAACGGGCCAGGTACCGCAGGCGACTCAGACGCCGGAGGTCGCAGAACGAGCTCCGTCCTCCATTACATATAACAATATGTAATGTAAAATAACAATCAATTTGAATCACTATGTTTGTTTTGAGCCAGATTCAGCATATATATTCTTCATTTGATTATTTAAACAAATTTGTATGTGACCTGAATTTCCTGTATGAGTGTATATAGGCTAAGTACTAACAGTTTTTTTTTAATTTACATATGATTTAGGTTAATTAACTAATCGGCATAAATAAATAAATTAGCTAACTAGCTCACCCGCACTTTGTATATCTAGCCCAGGGATTCCCAAAGTGGTCGATAACGACCCTTTGAGATCGAATTCGGTTTCCTAGAGGTCGACATAAACGAAAATGGATTTTAGTTAGTTGTTCAATTCTTTCTTTGCTGTTCATCGATTAAGTGACGTAACTGGAGCCTAAACTCCTCACCCTGACCCTGACCTTCACCCTGATTCTGGATGAAGGGACTGTACGGGCACGGCACTGTGACTGTTGAGTTGCAGGTCAGGTAAAACGTCTCACTCTGCGTTGCCCCAGCGGTAAAAGTTCTTTGGGGATTTCCTTTCTGGTTCCCCGGCTACTGGTACAAGAGACGGCGCGGCGGCGTGCGGTTTTTGATCGGTTCTTTGTGTCCGTTTCATGTATGTTTGTAAAGTTCCCCGCGACACAGAATTTATTCCCAGTACGGTAGTTGTTTAAAAAAAAAACAAAAATATGGCGCTCCTTCGTTCAGCAGTGGACGGCGATAGGCTGATTATGTCAAAGTACAGAAATAAAAAAAGACGAAATTGTATAGAATGTCCTTTATTAAAATAAATATAATTTCAATAATTATCACAAGTTGATCACTAATATTATATGTTATATAGATATAATTACGTATCTCTGTATATCATTGTTTTAAACTTAACTAGCACCTATCACCACAGTACAAACAGTACTATATCTCACTGCTTAACACGTAAAGTTTCCCTGATACTCTGTAGGGATGAAATAAAAGTTCATCCTCTATTATAAATCATATTATCACACCCGTTACTAATTTACAGAAGCGAAGAAGCTTATGATTATGATAGCGCCAGACTTGCGAAAGCCCTAAATCTAAAAAAAAGTCGTAGTCTTTGATAAAGTTTGGTTTTTATTTGATTAAGTTTTGATGGCATCTAGCTTTGTCTATGACCAAATCGAAGTAGTGATTTATGATAGGTGAAATAGCAGTGATTGAGGTCAATCATTTTATTATAAGATTTATTTTGATTTAAAAGTAGCAAGTTTCCATCACTGTAGTGTAAAAGGAATCATTTTTAAAGCAGCAGTTGTCTGTTTTAAGTGTGTTCCAGTGGCCTATAATGGCCAGTCAAACCTGATCAGTAATATCAGCAATTCCCAGGTTTAAAATTAATAGTTTCGTTCGATTGTAAAATCTTAAATTAAAACCTGAATTGTCCTTTATTATCAATTTAATGTTTTGATATCTTCCAATCAACATTAAATATAAATGATTTGACAATAGCTGGGTATGACGTCACGACATAGTATTTCGTACAAAAATGTACCGCGTTTATCGTTTTTAATTACTGAAAACAATAATTCCAGAGTTAAAATTGATTCCTGGTGTTAAAATGTACAGACATGTGACACAAGACTGTATAAAATGGTCGAATAATGTAATTCCTACAGTTCTACATTAATAATATTAATCTTAAGATTTTGTTTGGTTGAACGTGCTAATCATTTTGAGAGATGCAGAACAAATTGCGCTGGTCAGCTGGTATACTCTATACCAGGGATTCCCAAACTATATTGGGTAAGAGACCCCTTTTCTAAAATTATACCTCAGACCCTTAAAAAGTTTCTTCAGAACTTGTGTTAATTAATAGGGTTCGATATTTAGACCTTGACCCCCAATATCAGTTTTCGCTTTTGTAAACCCCTGCGAAACCGAATTCGACCCCAAGAGGTCGATATTGACCACTTTGGAAATCCCTGCTGTATATCATTTATAAAATTGTTTAAATAGCTGTTACAATAAATCTCTGGACGACCTTGAATACCTCGAATTATCTATATACCAATTACTAACATATTTTTTTATCTGCAACGTTGAAAATCTGCGTCAAAGACGGTCTACTGTTAATATTGAGGCACACTTAGCAATATCTAAATACCAAGTATGCCAATGATTATAATCAATAAAGCCTACACCAGAAACTTCACCATATATTTATAAGTTTGATCGAATCCCCTTCATTTGTTTGCTCTTCATCCGCCAAAAGTCCTGCAACATTAATAATAATATTTTGGACATATGACACACAACGCCATCTTGTTTTAAACTGAGCAGACCTTGTACTATGAAAGCTATATTGACTGATACAATACTTATATACTTTTTATTTGTAAATCCAAATATATATCTTATATATAGAAAACACACAAACTCCAAAACACATATTTGCAGATCAGACAATCATTTGGCCCGACACGGGAATCGATTCCGAGACCTCAGCACAGCAGTCGCATACGCTACCACTACATTAAAATATACACATATATATAAAATATACATGATCATTAGTTCTGTGTCTGGGTGTAATTTATCTATAATATGTATTTAGAAATATATAAGTATATTTATCAGCTGTCTGGTTATCATAGTACAGGCTCTGCCTAGTTTGGGATCAGACCGGCGTGTGTGAGATTATTTTAAGTATTTATTTAAATAATGAAGCAAAACATGTTGATACACAACAACTAACCAATTAAACTGTTTCGGATTCATTTCCTGTAAACTACACATGTTTGAAGCAAATAAATATTTAAAAAAAAAGAAGCATGTAAGAAATTGCATTATAGCGATAAGGCGGCCATTGATACATGGTGATTAACTTGAAATACTATTGTATGTATGATGTACTAAACTGCAGTATTATATTTTAATGATTTAAACATTATTAACTTTACATAATATTGTTAAAGTACATCAACATTTTTTTATGTTATATCTATTATATATCCTGATTCCTAAAAGGCCAGCAACGTGCTTGTGACTCCTGAGCTGCAGGCGTTCATGGGCGGCGGTAATCACTTGCCATCAGGTTATGCTCGTTTGCCCTCTGAATCATATAAAAATTAAAATTGGTTGGCTAGAACTGAGACTGAAGTAGTTCGAGGAGGGCAGGTAGCCCCCCACAGAAGAGCCAGAGGCCCTCACCTGTATGTCAGTCCTGTGAATGTAGAGGCCTCAAGGACAGAGACATAAATATTTCCCTATATCTTTATCAATTAATTACAATTGTCCGTGTGGTGACGGTCACCACCCCTGTTGATCCCGTGGGTGTCGTAAGAGTTGACTAAGGGAGATAAACTACGAAGGGCCATCACTGCAAAGAGATGGAAAACTTGAAAAAAACCCTATACCAACCCGCATGGCCAGCGTGGTATAGTAAGCCAAGCTCCTTTCTAAGGACAGGCCTATGTTCAGCAGTGGAACAGGATTAAAATCCAACTTTGACTGTTATGTGATTATATCGTATTGTAAACGAAAATTTAATCTGTAATCTGCTAGTCTTAGTAATACTTTACTATTTTACTACGAAAATACCTTTTATGACAGTTGTGAGATCTAAAGTCGATCGGAACTTCATAGAGACCGAACTTTTATTACGAGAATTAGCCTTCAGGTGACCCGTCTCTTCGTTTGCCCCCCTCCACCCCCTATACCATAAAAATCATACTAACAGTATAGTTAATTGGAAGTCCTTTTGTTTTGGAGTACTCTTCCACTTCTTTGGCCAAATGTTCTTGTACCGTGTTCTTGACGTCGATGTAGTAACACGAACTGTTCGCGAAATGGAACGATATTGCTTTCCGGTAGTTCTGGAATTAAAAAAATATAAATTACTTTAATGTCTTTCTTATTTAAAATTATGGGATTAAATAGTTCTAGTGTTGAGTCGTTAGTTTACAAACAATCGAAAGCCGTATGGAATCTTGAGGACAGCGCCATCTAGTATCAAGTAATGCTAACATCTAGTGTCGGGTAACGGAAGATTATTGGTAGGTACTGAAAATTGCTAATTCTCTGTTTAATATTAAAGATAATTCCTCTGGAACGCTCTATCGAGTCCTAGGGATTGTTCTAGTTATTTCGGCAGCCCTATAAAAGCGGAGCGTGTTGGCCGTACGGGCGAATATTGTTTTCCGAGACAGCGGATTAACACCTAAGCGATTTTCAAGTGCGACTCAGGAGTTTTTAGTTAAGTTTTTGTTTGTAAAAGTGGGTGTTTATAAATACAATGCAAATTTTGTTAATTAACCGCCTTCTTTTATTTATCGAATCTTCAGCTCGTAATAATATTATGTCAAAATGCGTTGGATGAGGGCAGCATAGGACCGATTGTTGTGGCGAAGCTTGGAGGAGACCTATGATTAGCAGTGGCCGTTTTTCGGCTGAGATGGTGATGATGATATATAGAAATGACTGACTGTAAGGAATATCATGTCTTTCAGAGTGTTTTTAAACAGTTTTACACGTAATTTGGTTCGAAGAATCTTTTGCTTCATGTACTAACATGTTGTAGCATGTTTTACGCTCAAAGAGTTTCCATAAAGGGTTAGTGTGGTATCATCTGCATAAGAGAAAATTTTGACAGTTTTGAATAGTTAATTGACAAAGGTCGTTCATGTAGCAAAGGAACAGAGTAGGGCCTAAAATACTGCCTTGGGGGACTCCAATATTTACAAGATTTTCAACACTAAGAACCAATTGAGATCGGTAACAATAGAATTCGATAGACCGTTCCAGATAATAGGGAATTTTCCAATATTAATAATCTGCAAGTATCGAAATCATAATCTCAACGCGTAGTATTCGTTGTGCATCACTTGATACTAGATGGCGCTGTTCTCCAGATTCCATACGTTTCACCATTGTTCACAAACTACACAATACAAGAACCACTCAATCCTATTGCGCAACAGTATCATTAACAAAGGTCAAAGGTCAAACATCATAAAAGTCGATTCGTCGTTCCCGAGTTATAAATGGCGTCTTTAATCGGTCTTTAATTTATTTATTAAGATATGTTAAACAACTGACCTTGGAACGATTAGGCCCCGACCCGTGGACAAGGTAAGGGTTAAAGAACACGGTGTCTCCAGGGCTCATTTCCAGGTGCACCTGCTTATCCAGCGGTGCGAGGATGTCTTCGTCCAAGCCGTGGTAGTGCTTCAGTGCATTCTGGAAAAGTATTATACCACCTTGAGGAGTTGTTACATTAGAACGTATCATAAGACATTTGCGGCTCGATGGACCAACCACTTGAAGTCAAGGCAAGTAATTTCAACTTATAGATATTATGAATACCTGTTTATCTCCGTGCTCGTACAGCTTCTTCTCTTTATGTGACCCTGGTATGACATAAAGACATCCGTTCTCGTGGGTGACGTGGTCTATTGCCGTCCAACTGGCTATGATCTTCTCTGCAGGCCGAAATGGAAAGTAGAATAAATCCTGAAACAATATTCAAAACTCAATCAAAAATCAGTAACCGCTGAATCGATTTTAATGAAATTTGGCAAAGAGAGACTGATTCTTGAGAAAAGGTATAGGATACTTTTTACCTTGATAATCGACATATACTCGGACGGAGCCGCGGGCAAAGGCTAGTCATACATTAATTATCTGGCCTGTTGGTCCAGTGGTTAGTGACCCTGACTGCTAAGCCAGAGGGAATGGGTTCGCTTTTAAGATCAGTAATTGTGTGATGAGCACGATCATCTGTTCTGTATCAACACGTATGTGTTTAAAAGTATATAAGTATGTTTGTCAGCAGTTGGTTACAAAAATACAGGCTCTGCCTAGTCCGGGATCAGACAGCCGAGTGTGAGATAAGTCAAGTTATTATTTTTCCTCAAAGACCAGTCACTCCTGAGTTGTAGGTGTTCATGGGTGGCGGTAGTCGCTTTCCATCAGGTGACCCGTGTTCTCGTTAATGCCCTCTTCCATAAAAAATCACATCACATCACATCATCAACAGCCTTTAACAGACCACTGCTGGACATAGGCCTCTCCTTAGAAAGCAGGTTTTGGCCTACTATACCACGCTGGCCAGACGGGTTGGTATAGGGATTGTATCAAGTTTTCCTTCTTTTTGCAGTGCTGGTGTCCTGCGTTGTTTTGCGCCCTTAGTCGTCTCTTACGACACCCACGGGATGAATTGCGGTAGTGACATTCCGTATTCTTAATCCGTCACTACACAGACTCAAAAAATATAAAATTTATATCACACTAGCTGCTAGCTTTCAAAAGGAACAAATTATCTCCGTTTTTACAACATTTTTCTTTGATACTCGGTTCCCAACGTGATGTTATACATATATTTATAGCTTAGCTTTCCTCTATAAATGAGCTAGCCAACACTCAAGAATTTTTCAATTTGGACCAGTAGTTCCTGAGATTAGTGCATTTAACCAAACAAATTCTTTGGCTTTATAATTTTAGTAGGTAAATTATATAAGTATTCTATTAGTCAATCTAGCTTTTATAGTACAAACTCTGCTTAGTTTGAAACTAGATGGCGTTGTGTGTTAGATGTCCGAAATATTTCATTATAGATTCAGGCAGTCTTAGCTTTATACATTTTAATTTTATAGTTTAATAGGTTTTGACAATGTCAGTGCAAAATAGCATACATTTTATTAAAGTTGTAATCACTGTATCATGTTCTAGTCTAGAATATGCTAATCTCTTCTGTAAGATCTTCTAAATTACCTGGTGTCCAGGGTGTCTGCTGGCTCCAGGAGGTTTGTTGATAAACATGCTGTTGACTGCGGTGATGTCATCTCCGATGAACTGCGACACCACAGACAACAGAGCTGGGTGTTCTCCATATGTGCTCAATACTTCATCGTAAAGGAAATCTGTAAGCTGAAATATATTGAATATTGTATTGTATCTATTATGATTGGCGCGGAGGTAGGACGAGAACGGGAAACGGTAGAAAAGCGGGCGGCAGGCACATTCTTGTCACGCCACGAACGCTCACCGCCCGCACCTCTTCCAGACCCCTTTCTCGTCCTACGCGTCTGTACCCCGCCGGCGAAGACTCATTCAGGAAGTTTATCTATATGACAGGCACCACAAAGGATACGTTCTAAATTCGTTATTTTTTTTAATAAAAAATGTAGAATACCCCTAAAGTGATTACAGTATACTGTTAGTGCTATCTCAAACTGAGAAGGCTATATTAAAAGCTGGCTAATAAAATTTAAAGTCACAAGATAGTAAGGACATCGCTACTGCTTCCACTTTTATATGTAATATGGGTTACGCTCAAAAATAGAAAGCGCCCGGCAATCACAAAAAGATCACATTGTCATAGCGAAATTCGTGTCGTAGCTATCATATGACACAACCACAACGCAAGTCCGCGATGAAGAAATGCCTTATGTTATTATATGAATATGGCAACAAGTTATGCACTGGGCATCAGCCCTTTGTTGTGCAACGTTGCCAAAAATGTTCTGTAACATGTTGCGCAACAATTATTGCTTTATAGATCCGCATCGTAACAAAGTTTTTCCCAGAGGACTACAAAATGTTTCGTTTTTGTAGTATTTTTTTATATCAAAGGAATTTTTTGAAGTAAAACTTCTTTACGCACGCTTGACTGGGGGAGAAAGCTAATGAATGCGTGACGAGAGCGTTACGTTTCGTGTATTACTGTAGGGGCACGAGGGAGAGGTGCGAGTACACATTTTCTTTCTCTCTTTCTTTCATAACCAAGAAGTTTTACTTCAGTCGGGTCTTAAAGCACACTTGTTTTTTTTGTATTATTTCCATTGTATTCAAATTTATTTTACTGCTTTTGGTATCTTAATATGATAACTAACGCAAAAGTTTTTATAGTTAGAAAAACCCGGCTGGCCAGCGTGTTATAGTTGACAAAAAACTTCTAAGGAGATGCATATGTTCAGCAGTGGACAAGGCTGTTAAGGCAAGATTGTATTGTTTTGTCAGTTGATACCTTCACTTACCTTATTGATGCACTGTTCTGGCTTCAGGTTTTGCTTGGCCAGTTCTGGTTCCTTCGTAACTCTTATGTGAGCCATGCTGGTGGGTACAAGACCTTTACAAATTTGTAGAAAGCGTTGTCTGTAAATTAAAACAGCTGCATAAGTTTTTTATAACTTTCTACATTTCCAGCAATGAGATGGTAAAACACGGTTTTCTGTGCGCTTTATTATTCTGGTCGAGCCAGTTACTTCAAAACAATATATCTCACAATCTCACAATATATCTCACACGTCTCACACACGGCCAGACTGCTGATAAACATACTTATATATTTCCAAATACATACATGTTATAGATAAATTCCAGCCAGACACACAACAAATTACCGTGCTCATCACACAATATTTGTCCTGGATGGGAATCGAACCCACGACCTCCGGCTTAGCAGTCAGGGTCACTAACCACTGGACCAACAGTCTCGTCGATATCTACTACTAGTTGCCATGGCTTCACTAACGTTAATGTAGACTTTCATTCGATTCTCAATTGCCCTTTTACAGGTGTACAACCCTACGGGTACGACGTTCTTGCGGTGGTTTGACCCGTTATGGAGGATTGGGATTGAGGCAACACGGAACCCTCTTATACTGAGCGTGTACTTACTGTACTGTACTTATACAAAATTTACAAACAGGCCATTTTAGGTTCTACAAATTTCATATAACGCATCGCTCTCACAATTGAATCTTACGACACGTAACAAACCAAAATCGACACTTGTCAAAAAAATATACTTGCATAATTTAAAAACCCCTCCTTCTAGACTTATAAAGAAGTTCGCATGTGTTGATTTGAATAACTACTAGCATTTTATGTAAATAATGTGTGAAATAAAACCGGTCAGGCTTCCGATGCACGAACGCAGGCGAACAACGCTGCCTGCGTTTGCGAAAAACTAGCAAAACAACATTACCATGGACTTTGGGCCTTTGTAATCAACATTAAACGATAACATAAGGCTTGGAACCAAAGCTATACGTATAGTATGTTTATTTATAATAACAGATAAACAGTTGGTGCAAATAGATTTATGCACCAGAAAACCGATTAGATGCTCCATAGCAACGAAATTAATTATAGTTTATAAAAGTGTAAAAAGACACTTATTTGTACTAGCGGAACTAAAATGTAGAAAATAATTTTCTATAAGTTCAAAAAGATAAATCATTTTATCATAAAAATGCTTGGGGTGCTCGATGTCAAGTGTTGTGAATATTTTATTGACAGATATTGGTAAAAGTCATTAATTATTATATTATAAAATATCTTAAAAAGCACCCCACACAAAGACTTAATAAATAGTCGTTGTTGTTGCCAACAGTTGGCCACTATTTTTATCTGTCTATCTCTACATATATTTTTAAGGAACTTAGAGTTCAAATTTCGACCAGTAGGTAAACACTTCATCAAGTGGGTGTTGTAAGAGCCGACTAAGGGAGCAAACTACGCAGGACAACAGGACTGCAAAGAGAAGGAAAACTACAAACCCTATTCCGACCCATCTGGCCAGCGTGAATTAGTAGGCCAAAAACTTCTTTCTAAGGAGAGGATTATCTCCAGCAGTGGACTGTTAAAGGCTGTTGTTGAGGTAAACACTAGTAAAATCCTTACTTATAAGAATATAATGATGCAAAATCGATAAGTTCTTTGAGGACCAAGTAGCCATTGTCTTCGTAGAACTGGAACTGCTCTGATGACAATGTGTAGCTTTCTGATGACTCATTGGAGACACTGCAATCAAGAAGATCTTGGTTTATCTATTTTAAATGTGCAGTTCAACTACCTGAATCAGGAGTAGGTATTATATTTATGTATATATATATTTATGTATATATATATCTATGTATATCGAAACTCCTTATAGAATGCTATAAGGAGTTTCAAAGGGATTTACCACCCCATCAGCAAAAAAAGGAAAACACATATAGTTAGTGTGAGCACTTCATTCTTGACACTACTAATTGGTAAACTTATGGTTCCTTAATGTTTCTTGATTTATATACTTTAGGAGTAAAGGAACACCCATCGAATTTCTATACCTAATTTCAATCCAAGATTTTTATAATTTATTTTAAGTGGGAGATAACAGGAGATCAAATCGTGAATGTGCAGAACTCTTGTGTCTTCTCCACAGAGCCCACAACCTGATCACATGGCCATTGTAACCTAATCTAGGAACGGGAATGTTTTAAAGTTAAATTTATTAAATTAAGTACATATTAATTCAATATCATCTTACCCTGACTAACTAACCATTTTAACTATATATCTGCTACCAGTAATTTTGATATATTTATAGTGTTAGGATATTAAGACAAAATTAAACTTCAAATAAGAATTATTTTTCTGTAATTTTTTAGTCCTGTAATTTGTTTGTTTCTGTTGCTATGTATCTTGATTTGAAAAAAAGTAAAAAGAATTGTTTCACTCTGTCTGTGTATCTTACAATAGTGTAGTGTTACCACAATACAGACTCTGCCTAGTTCAGAATAAGATAATCGTGTTGTTTCTTCTATTTATTATTGTTAATGTAATGTTTTAAATGTTAAAATAATGTGATTACACAATCTAGGTACATACTTAAGTATTTGTATTATAAGTCATATTTTGTAGAATCTTCATAGACTTCTTTTATCATTTAATCCTAAATAGATAATTATACGTTCTGTACAATCTATGGGTAAACATTTCGCATTATAGATATAAAATTGATAAAAGTTATAATCCTATAGAAGTTTATGAAATAAATTAATTTAATAGAATTCGACATATAAAACCAAAACGTTCTTAATAAGATAAACATTAATAAAACAAAAAAAAACTATAAAATACAGAAATAAAAAAATAACTTACGGTTTAGAAAGCACTTTAATACCAGCCAGTGATTTAACTAGAACCTCTTTGGACATTTTATATTCACAAAAATTCTTTTGGTTCTAAACACGAGTTCAATTCAGTATTCGTTCTAAACGTTTGCCTGGAAAAAGTATAGCTTTTGTGACAGCAACTTATGTCAACAAAGCAATTAGCAATCTAGAATCACAATCACATCACGATCACAACAGCAACACTAATAAGAATAACACTAACTAGGGATGGCCAGTGTTGCCAACAGTTGAATGAACTTTCCACCAGATTCAACATCTTAAACCGCCAGAAAACCACTAACGTCAAACGACCCTACTCTGATAGGCACTAAATTTTCCACTAAACATTTTTTGTAGTAACTACGTCACTATTAATCATATTGGTTGCAGCATTCTCCTTCCAACTTCAAACCACAGCGTGGAACGATGGCGGAAAGTTGCGACGGCTATTAGTCCAAACAATTCCTCGGAGCACTCTTCATGATATATGCCATGGAGAATGCAGAGTGAAGCCATATCGAGCTAATCGGAGATGTTTCGCCTATCGACGTTGGATGCGGTCCAGAGAGAGAAGCTGGTACAGAGGTGCTCCTGCATAGATATGAGAACAGTATTCCATATGCGGTCGGACTTGCGCCTTATAGAGCTGAAAGGGAGTGGGCCATAGTCAAATACGATCTGTCAGCACACCCATCTTCTTCGAGGCCAATTTGACCTTACCCTCTAAGTGATCCCGAAACTGGACTTTGCTCGATATGTCGCTGCCAAGGATTCCGAAACTGGCTAAGGCAGTTAGGGAGGTGCTCTAAAAACCGAGTTGATGCGACAAATGGTATCTCCTTTGCAGAGAAGGCAGACCTGTGTCTTTTTTGGGTTGAAGTAAAACCTCCGCTAAGGAACTTTTAATTTTAGACTCAAGTTTGTTTCGACTCTCGACGACGTTTTCCCGAGAAAGATTGAGGCAGCCGGTGTAAAGGGCATATCCCGTACTATCATCTGTATAGCAATGGATGCTACTAGTTTGTGTGTGATAGCACTCAGCCTTCCGGAACACCAGCATTTACGGAAGTGGAACACAGCCTTGGCCCCTTGGGCATCTTTGAATAGTATGTGTAAGGTTGGTAACACGTAGGGCATTGGTGGACAACAACGGACCGAGTTCAAATGGTTTGAATGATATCAATCTTTATTTCTCTTCTGTTTCTCAACTGGATCATTAAACACAGAGTGGGATCCTGAAATATATTGCTAGTCTGCCCAGACCCAATACTTTCAACTTTGAATTTTCTCCTGTGCCTTCTGGGGTAATCAAAAAGAGCCGTAGGATGATAGTTACCATCCTAGATTACGTCTTCGAAGTTATATCCGTCTTTCCTGAGTACCTATATCCAATCCCCATCATTCTTTTCCTATTGTGGCATCTCCCACATATAAAGAAACACATACATACTACAACTCCATCTAACGAAGACACACCGAACTCCGGAGTAACTTCTGAATGACAATTGCTAATCCTGTATCGCGATATGAAGAATTCAATCGTTGAGCCGCGGCCACTCGCCTCGGCCGGAGGGTCCTCCCTTTGTGTTGGAGGAACATGACACCCGTTCCTCCACACTATCAAACGTTCTTGAGGTTTGCGTACACAAACAGTTCTCACAGTTCATCTTTCAACAGCACTACCTAAGTAATTGTGGCGAGTAGGCGAGTAGGCGAGTAACCCCTATGCGTTAGGACGTAGCACCAGATCATACGATCTACGTCACATATGGCGTGATGTTCTCGACATGTAGGGGATAAGTACAGTAAGCCCCGCCTACAGCAAGATGACCGCCCATTTGCTATTATACTACCAGCGCGCGCGCAATATGGTCGACGCACATCTTTTGTTGTACGGCATACGCCCACGTTCAAAAAGTGCCAGGACCGAACCTTTTCTATGTTTATTATTGTTAACTATTTTCGTGTATAAATACTGTGTCGCATTGTGTGAGAAACCATTCCGACTTTTGTTATCGTCTTGGTACAAAAATAAAGAATTGTTTACGTGTTGCTCAAGTCCTTTGATTATTGATAACAAGCCGATACTAAGCAAATATCCTTCGCTTCGCTAGTATTATAAAGTTATTACAAACAACTGAATTAGGATAACAAGCTGTTAACAGTCCAGTGGTTCGGACGTCGACTGCACTGTGATAGAAGGGAGTTCGATTCCAACCTAATTCACTTCACTGGTGACCCACGACAACTAGTATTCTTTGAGTTTATTACTATACTATAACTCGAAACTAGTAAATTAGAAATATGCCGCTTACTGGTGAAGAGGCAAACAAGGACTTCTTTATGGCCTACCGCGTCGGAGTGAAGGTACCGGTGTTCAACGCTGATGATCCGCTGCTGTGGTTCGCACAATTGGAAGGACAGTTTACCCTTTCCAATATCACTACTGACTCCACGAAGTTCTACTACGTGCTGGCACAGCTAGAACCCCAACATTCAGCAGAAGTACGAGACCTTATAGTATCTCCGCCCGCAACTGATAAATATGAGAAGCTGAAGACAGAGCTGATCAAGAGGCTATCGGCATCGCAAGAGCGCAAAATAAAACAACTGCTTATGCATGAAGAGCTCGGTGACAGAAAGCCCACACAATTTCTTCGCCACCTACAACAACTAGCTGGACCAACTGTTCCTAACGATTTTATCAGGTCAATTTGGTCTAGCAGGCTTCCGGCGAATCTTCAGACCATAGTAGCCATGCAAGCCAATTCAAGCTTGGAAGATGTAGCAGAGCTAGTCGACCGTATAAACGACATCGTACCAGTTACTGGTCAAGTCGCCACTAGCATGCCAGTAACCGGACAAGTAGCAACTACACAGTCGGCTATGAGCAGCAGAGGAGGAGCACAGGGTAACACTATTGACGCTCTAACGCAAGCTGTGACCGAACTGACTCGCAAGATGGAACGCATGAGTACCGAACTACAAAGAGTACAGCGTTCTCATAGCAGAGGACCCAGAGGAGGTAAAAGTCGTTCCCGGTCACGTTCTAGACCCAGAGATCATCCTTACTGCTTCTATCACTATCGGTTTGGAGATCGAGCTTGCAAGTGCACACAACCTTGTACCTACAAAACAACAAAGTCGGTAAACTACCAAGGCAGCCATTAACGGCGGGACAAGACTGCCTAGCAATATCAAGCCGCCTGTTCATTACGGATCTCAAGACAAAAATACAATATCTTATAGATACGGGTTCGGACCTGTGCGTATTTCCGAGATCCGCTGTTCGAGAGCGTCGTACTACAACAGAGTACAAACTATTTGCAGCCAATGGGACAATAATAAACACATACGGTTTCATTTCTCTCACTCTGGACCTAGGACTTCGTCGCGCATTTTCTTGGCGATTCATCGTAGCTGACGTGACAAAGCCAATTATCGGTGTCGACTTTTTAGCTTACTACAATCTATTAGTCGACTGCCGAAACCAGCGTTTAATAGACAATCTCACTACGCTAATGGTCCGTTTACCTCAACGCCAATCCACTGAAGCCATATCGTCTGTGCGCACTTTTATAGACGGTAGCGACTACCACCACCTTCTGAAGGAATTTCCAGACCTTACACGTCCAGCGGGTAAGCCAAGTACTCCTAAACATAATACAAAGCACCACATTCGCACTACGCCTGGCCCGCCAGTCTTCGGGCGTCCACGTCGTTTAGACCCTGCCCGGCTAAAGATAGCGAAGAAGGAGTTTGAAGAGATGCTGTTGAATGGTACTGCACGTAAATCGGAAAGTGCCTGGTCTTCACCACTTCACCTGGCGCGCAAGAAGAACGACGGTTGGCGCCCATGCGGAGACTATCGCTCACTCAACGCACGTACGATTCCCGACCGATACCCTATTCGGAATTTGCAGGACTTTACCCATCAGCTGGCAGGTACTTCAGTATACTCTACCATAGACCTGGTAAAGGCATACAATCAAATACCGGTCGCAGAAGAGGATATATCCAAGACCGCCATAACCACACCTTTTGGCTTATACGAATTCCCATTCATGACGTTTGGTCTTCGAAATGCCGCTCAAACGTTCCAGCGATTCATGGATGAAGTTCTTCGTGGGCTGGACTTCTGCTACGGGTATCTCGATGATATCTTGGTCTTCAGCAGCAGCCCCACCCTTCATCAGCAGCATCTACGAAAGCTTTTCGAAAAACTATCAAAATTTGGAGTCCTACTCAACACAAACAAGTGTGTTTTTGGTCAGAAAGAGGTAAATTTCTTGGGATTTAAAGTTTCAGCTAGCGGTATTCAGCCCCTGGATACGAAGGTTCAGGCCTTACATGAGTTTCCAGCTCCCAAAACCGTCAAAGAACTGAGACGATTCCTTGGAATGCTAAATTTCTACAGGCGTTTTATACCAGCTGCAGCTTCGATACAGGCGCCACTTCATAGCCTCTTGACAGGTCCGAAGATTAAAGGATCGCACCCAGTTGTCATGACTGAGGAACTACTGGTAGCTTTCGAAAGATGTAAGCATAGTTTATCTGAGGCCACACTCCTAGCACATCCTGACTCGCGAGCAGAGTTAACTGTGCAGACGGACGCCTCGGACACAGCAATTGGAGCAGTTTTGCAACAACGCAATGGTGAAGAATGGCAGCCACTCGCATTTTTTTCGAGGAAATTGAGCCCTTCACAAAGAAAGTATAGCCCTTACGACCGCGAGCTTCTAGCTATTTATGAGGCTATACGATATTTCCGGTTTATGGTTGAAGCTCGAGTTTTTTTCATTAGTACGGACCATAAACCACTAACGTTTGCATTTGCCACTCATCGTGAAAACTGTTCCCCCCGGCAGTTTCGATACTTAGACTTCATTAGCCAATTTACGACTGATATAAGATTTGTGGCCGGTAGGGATAACATTGTAGCTGATACTTTATCACGTGTCAGCGCGGTAAATCAAACGTTAGACTATACATCCTTGGCTAGGGAGCAGAAAACTGATGCTGAACTTCAAGATCTGCTGCAAAACGGGTCTAGTCTCAAGCTGGAAAAAGTAGTACTGCCAGACTCAAAAGAAGAAGTATATTGCGACATCACAGCGGGACAGCGACCATTCATAACTAAATCATTTCGAAGGCAGGTCTTCGATGCCCTCCACAACCTGAGTCACCCGGGATCAAAAGCAACAGTCCGCTTGGTAACCCAAAGGTTTGTCTGGCCTGGAGTAAGGCGAGACTGTCGGCGTTGGGCCAAGGAATGTCAACCATGTCAGAGAAGCAAGGTCTCCAGACACACGAAGGCACCTCTAACGTCATTCCCAGCACCATCTGCACGCTTCAGACACATACATCTAGACTTAGTAGGTCCGTTACCATTGTCTTCAGGCTTCAGGTACTGCCTTACCGTCATCGACCGAGTGACCCGATGGCCTGAAGCGTACCCTCTCGAGGACATTACGGCAGCAACCTGTGCAGTCGCCCTAACATCCGGGTGGTTTGCGCGGTTTGGCTGTCCTGAACACATAACCACCGATCGAGGCCGGCAGTTCACGTCTCAAACTTTTAAGGACCTCACTACGCTTGTCGGTGCTAAACATCATTTAACCACAGCTTACCACCCCGCAGCTAATGGTCTAGTAGAAAGGCTACACCGGCAGCTCAAAGCCGCTATTATATGCTACGCCACCTCTAGCTGGACAGAGGTTTTACCATGGGTGCTTCTTGGCATCCGCAGCGCGTGGAAGGAGGATATTCAGGCTTCAACAGCAGAACTGGTCTATGGCGAGACACTACGCTTACCTGGACAGTTCTTCAGCAGCACCACAGACGAAACTATAGACCTGAGCAGCCTAGTCAGCAGACTTCGTTCACACATGAACAAGCTAACGCCACAACCCACATCTTGGCACAGCAGTTCCAGTCGTCCATTCTACGTACCTAAAAACCTGGAGGCAGCTACTCACGTCTTTCTGCGCCAAGGTCCAGAACGAAGGCCGCTGCAAGCTCCTTACCTAGGACCGTACAAGGTTCTGCAACGTAACTCTAAATATTATGACATCGAGGTGAAGGGGAAGACGCAAAGAGTTACAATAGATCGTCTCAAACCCGCATTTGTCACAAATGAGACACCGATAGTCACCACAGGCAGCGAAAAAGCAAAGGACCAACCCGTCTTGAAGAAGACCAGAAGCGGGCGCACTGTCAGATTTCCAGACTACTATCGCCCGTAGTCACGGTCTCACCGGGGGAGTGGTGTGGCGAGTAGGCGAGTAGGCGAGTAACCCCTATGCGTTAGGACGTAGCACCAGATCATACGATCTACGTCACATATGGCGTGATGTTCTCGACATGTAGGGGATAAGTACAGTAAGCCCCGCCTACAGCAAGATGACCGCCCATTTGCTATTATACTACCAGCGCGCGCGCAATATGGTCGACGCACATCTTTTGTTGTACGGCATACGCCCACGTTCAAAAAGTGCCAGGACCGAACCTTTTCTATGTTTATTATTGTTAACTATTTTCGTGTATAAATACTGTGTCGCATTGTGTGAGAAACCATTCCGACTTTTGTTATCGTCTTGGTACAAAAATAAAGAATTGTTTACGTGTTGCTCAAGTCCTTTGATTATTGATAACAAGCCGATACTAAGCAAATATCCTTCGCTTCGCTAGTATTATAAAGTTATTACAAACAACTGAATTAGGATAACAAGCTGTTAACAGTCCAGTGGTTCGGACGTCGACTGCACTGTGATAGAAGGGAGTTCGATTCCAACCTAATTCACTTCATAATCTACAACCTTACTATTACTCGTAAACCACTCATAAAATCCACTAGCCACTAAAAGCAAAATTTCGCTACTAAAGGGGGGGTCGAAACCACCAGTTTTAGTGGAAAATCCACTAGTTGGCAACACTGGGGATGGCGACGTGAGATCGATTTATCGAAGAATCGAAATCTCGAGCCAAAAAATCGATCTTTTTATCGATTTGTAGCACTGAATCGCTTCAGTGGATCGACATTTCAACCTAGCAAAATCGACATTCGATTTTTTCTGTTTCGATAAAAGCAAAAAAAATATTCTTAGCTACTTGAATGTACTCAACATAAATAATATGTAGAGTAGAGGTGCCCGAAACGAGAACAAGAGCGAACGAGATATAGCCTTACATACCTCAATAAGAGTTCATTAAAGGATGTAAAAAAGAGTCACTTTTGCAGTTACTCTTTTCTCCATCCTTCTTGACACACGTAAAGAAAAAGCAGTTTTTCACTTAATTATATATAGCAATGAAGTATATGACTATCGGGGGATCATCGATGCCTTGAGAGCGCCTTTTCTCGATTGCGGCAACATCAAAAGTGATGAGCGGAACCGCTGGGATCCCAGTAGACTTGACCGAGTCTTGGTTCTCAAGCTTAGACAGCAAGCATTGGGAACTAAAAGCTATATTATATAGTATATTTTCTAAACTTTTTAATGTAACAAGTAAAGGACAGCAGAAGGCATGTATGGGACTTTTGTACCTTATGGTAGGAATTATTGTTGTTACCCAAAGATGTTACCCGCGCTGAGAGGGGTCCGGATGTCTTAATATCAGCTGTTCCCGGACCCCTCCTATCTCAGGCGCGAAGTGGCACACCGTGTGGTTTTAGTCGGTCGGTTTCGGTAATTTTTGAAACAAAGCAAAATAACCAATTTATACACAATAGATGTTTTTTTTTCAAACTTTATTTCAAAGTCACGTAGTTAGGTCCGTTATCGTAGTGGTGCGGCTCTTCAAATTCACTTGAATACGAATAATCGTTAAAATGTACGAAAAATCGAATTTATTAATAACGAGAAATTTTCAGTCCAGGCGTCTTTTTCCTTTTTTTTTTAATAAAGGCAACTCCCGCACTAGGAATATATCCTGTCCGACTGACGCAGGGACTCACTGTGAGTGAGGTGAGTACCTGAATCGGATTTGACGCGAGGAGACGGTGCGGTTGCTGTCATGGTGGCGGGTAAGGAAGGCTGGGGCGCAGTGGTCTCTTTCTGTGAAGCTGTAATGCTCCAGAAAGACTGCTGAACGGGATCGGGAGAAGGCCGAGAGGACGTCGGTGGTTTTATCAGAAGTCGACGGGGCGCAGGCTGCCAGAGAGTGGGGACCTCTGGTGGCAGATTAACTGCTGCGGTAGGTTGCTGCGATAGGATGGCGGCCGTAACACACATTGTTTGGGCCCAATGGCGGGGGTAAGCCTGCTTTCCCAGGGATTGGGCCCGGCTAGCCGCGGCGTCGATCTTGGGAGGACCTGAAATAACATGGTCCGGGTCCTCCCCAGAGCAGGGCGCCTATGACCGGCTGTCGAGGTGATTTTTATTGGAAACATCACATACTCCTGGCTCCTGCGTCCCCGAGGAGCCGGAGATCCGAAGGGATTTTCCACCCCATCAACGATAAATAAAAAGAATATATCCTGTGTCGCGGGGGACTTTACGAATATACATGAAACGGTCACAAAGCACACCCAGACTCAGAACAATAAACTTATGTACCTATTTGTTTGATACGTTAGTGTCAATATGTAAGGAATAGTATATAATGACTAATATTTTTTTTTCTATAAACATCCAAACTAAATTGATTGATAACATACGTGAATTTATGTTTCGTAACACAATTTTATTATAAACATTTGGAGCCGAACAAAACTTATGTAGTACAAATAAATATGAACTCAAAGAAGTTGTACACATTGACAAGTTTAATCAATTCGTGCCAAATACAAACCTACCGACTGCGGCGTTATCGACGCCGGCGGGTCATTTGATAACCTAAGTCTTAAAAGCGATAGTAAACCAACTCGTCTATAAATTAGTAGTCATTTACAATCGAATGAGGAATGTCGAGGCTTACCGTAATATTCTTGCTCGTTGGAGCAATAGTGCCTTTAATTTCCTCTCAGTGCACACCCAAGACAGCAACACCATTATTAAAAAGAGCAGTCTATGATTTTACATTGGGATTAATGAGACGAATTAATCAAGAAACAGAGAGTCATTTTGTCACATCCGCACTGTCGCCATGGGCGCTTATTTCGACAATGTCTCTCGGAGCTGCAAACGACACGCTGAAAGAAATTCAGAATGTGCTCAGACTTCACCCACAAAAATGTTTCAATAACCTGTTCTTCAATTTAATTAACCAAATTACAAGTAAGCCCAGTAATCCAGCTGCAGGTATGTTGGAACGGAGTGCCACGATATTCTTCGACGGTTCTCTTAACATCAAGCCGAAATTTTTGAATGATGTAACTAATATTGCAGCGAGTGATGCCAGGATTGTGTCTTTCTATGACAGAACCGTTACGTCTGCTATAATCAATGAACATGTTAGAAGTGTAACCAATGATGCTATTGACGAAATAGTGACACCTTCCGATCTTGATGATGTCTATGTAGTGATGATAGATGCTTTGTACTTCAAAGGAGCTTGGAAGATACCTTTCCCTTACGAAGATACAGAAATAAGTGCTTTCTACAATAGTAAAGGTCAGCAGATCGGAGATGTATCATTAATGTACGTGAGTTCACGTTTCAACACAACTTCTATTGATCAAATTCAGGCGCAAGTTTTGGAACTACCTTATGGCGAGGATACTAGATATGGGATGTTGATCTTCCTGCCTTATCAGAACGTGACAATATCAAGACTGATTGACTCGTTGAAGAAAATCAGTATTAGTTCAATATATATTTTATTCGGAAATCAAGAACCACAGGCGGTAGATGTACAGATCCCTAGATTCAAAATAAATACCGATATAAACAACTTAAAGGAGTTATTAATGGACATGGGATTGCAGAATCTGTTTGACCAAAATACCGGTAACTTCCCTGGAATTTCAGATTATCCGTTATATGTTTCAAACTTTATTCAGAAAGCGAACATTGAGGTCACGGAGGAAGGGACAGAGGCCAGTGCGGCTACAGCTGCGTTCTTGGAGTCCAGAATGTTACCAGATCAGTTTGTGGCCAATAAGCCTTTCTTATTTATGATTGTAGACAGACAGTTCCACATTCCTATTTTCACCGGTGCTTATTCAAAACCCAGCAACTTTTGAATAACTAAATAAAAATCCAGCATTAATGTAGTTTTTATCTCTTTCTTGTGCGAAATAGCAACGAAATCCTTCTCTGTTACTACAGATTTGCGATGTTTTTAATGTGCAGAAAACAAAGGAGATTCGCAAGATAACCCGTATGTTTTTAGTTTATGGTTTATGGGGGCAAACGAGCAGAGGGCTCACCTGTGGACACTTGGAACTCAAGAGTCACAAGTGCTTTGCTGCCCTATCAGTCCTTTCCTTTAGGCGGTGTTTGGGCTCCGGGAACCTCAATCTTTCGGTGAAAAGCAATCCAAGAACTGCTTAACACCGGTTTTCTGTCAAAATATATTGTTATCTCCCAATCACGAAAAATGCCAATCATCATAATATATTTGGACACACAAACGCTGGAGAGAGGGGGCGCTATTATTAAGTTTCCGGCCCGGTTAGAAAAAATCATAGATCCGGGGCTGTTTCCTGTGAGGCCGTGGTATCACTCCGGTCCAGCCTCACAAATGTATGCCAAAGCATTGCTTTCCCAAGATTTAGTTGAAAGAAAAGTCAGAATATTCCAATACTTATAGGTTTATTTATTGTGTGTGTTAAGTTCGAACGCAAATGGTCTTCAATGGTGTTAAAAGTAATTGAAAGAACACACCTTCAACTTCTTTTTTCGATTAAAATAATTATAACTATTGTTTGATACTTTGCTGTAACCTACTTATATCTTCTGATAACCTTATTTGTAACGTTTTTTTTCTGGAAGAATCAATACAAATGATAATTTGTTTTGATCACCCATAGGCTTACTCAACATCTAATCATTTTTATACAATTGCTTCTCAGAACTCTCATTAGGTCGTTCTTCATATAGAGGTACCGAGCTTCGCATTCCAGTAGGTGATTGTCGGTAAAGAATATTTTTTACAAGCGTTTATTTAACTTGCAATGTTAGAAACACTTATAACAATACAAAACAATAACTTAGAACCACTTTCCGGTGTCCAATTAGGCTCATTTTTTTCAAATGTATGCATAGATATTGATACAAAAATACCACCATGAAGCCGTTCTGATGATATAGCCGGTACACGGCTACATCATCAGAACAATAATTATTATTGTTTTCAAATAAACAAGATAAAACAACTCTGCTCGAGTTTGGGCTCATTTCTTTTGCTCAAGTAAAAAAGGGATATTCTTTGTTACAGACAGTAACAAAGAATACAGTGACAGGTTCATTTCAATGACAGGTCGTTTAATTCGGCTTGGGAGCCAAGCCCACTTCTTACTTAAGGTAAAAAGTTAGAATTACACACAACTAACGAAATACCTAGTCAGGGTTACATGAGTGTGTTATTCCTGTAAGTATATTATAATATGTTTACATGTGTGTGAATTGTTACAGGTATCGACCAGGTAATTTGCTTGCAGTATATCGCAGATTCGAGCCTTGTACAGTGGGCTGCCACACGGCTGCCGGTTCGAACGTACCTATCATCACACACATCACATCAACAGCCTTTAACAGTCCACTGCTGGACATAGGCCTCTCCTTAGAAAGGAGGTTTTGGCCTACTATACCACGCTGGCCAGACGAGTTGGTATGGGGTTTGTGTCAAGTTTCCTTCTCTCTGCAGTGCTGTTGTCCTGCGTATTTCGCTTCCTTGGTCGCCTCTTACGACACCCATGGGATGAATAGGGGTGGTGACACTCTGTATCCTTAATCTGTCACCACACGGCATACATTAGTTTAATACTAACGGGCTACGTCGTGTTCGTCATTTTTTAGTCGCTTACTAGTCAAAACGTAATAAAATTATTACACAATTAGAGGGGCTGAAGGGTGGTTGGGCTTGGCAAACCGTACGTGTTAAACCATCTCATTTCTTCTATTGTCTTCAATTTTTATGAGTCTGTGACATGAGTGGGAGAATTTATAGTTTGCAAAATGTGGGGGATTAATATGTCTGTCTGACTCTTAGCTGTTCAGGGAAACACTTGTGAGTGTCCGTGTGTCCTTTTATCAACGTTTAATGTAATTCATAATCGGAACGGAACTAAAACAAACTAAAAACTTATTCATCATTATCAGCCTATCGCCGCCACTACTGAACGAAGGCCTCCTTATCCCGGTCTTTGGAAGTCTGTATCCAGACTGTAGCCAGTTGTTGTTTTCTATAAGTCGTCGGTCTAGGGCGCTGGGCGACCGACCCTACGTCGCGTTGGCCTAATCGCAAAATCAATAAATCGGTACAAACAAAATACTTACTCTTACATAATATTTCGATAGGAAATTTCCAGTTTATGTGTGTTGTATTCAGTAAATAAATTGTTGTTATTTATTTTCTCTTAGTAGGTACGATATAATGGTTTTATTTATGTTATGGAACCGTGAGTATTGATTTTTCATTAATTATACTTTTTATGACCAACAATAATCCATAAGCCTTTAATGCAGATTACTAGCCTTTTTAGAATAGGTTATTAAGAATTTTATAGCTTTATTTTAATGGCTTTATCACAACATAGATCGACAAAGTATTTTGTGTTATTGCTTTTGGGCTTTGGCTACATCTACAAACACTTTATCTAAGATATGATAGGTTATGGAACAAATGACAGTTAGTTAAAAATGTTGCAAGTGTAAAAAAATTTTTTGTGCAGGCTGTTGGCAGGTGCGATCAAATAATCAATATTTTAGATTGGACTCTGAAATTGATAAATCTTTTCTATGAGAGAAGACTGACATGAATTAAGCTATACATCTTTACGACCAAGGATGTTGATGAAGTGTTTACTTAATTTTTGTTTTAAATGTTTACATATATCACAATTAATAAATCATAGAAGTTAACCTAAAAATTCAAAATATATTGTTTAGAAATCTAAAATATTAGTAGAATATGTAAAAGTTTCATCTAAAGATAAGCGCCTACTTCAATGCTACGAGAAACTTACTTAAATGTACAATTTTAGCCTTTAACTTGAGCGAATTGGGCACCCTTTTCTAAAGAAGGTTAAAAATCAAAACATGTGCCACAAGTCTATTGCTTAATGTACAATATAGCTCTATAAACACATATATGTAAAAATAACTTAAGAAGGTGTTACCTAGTATTATTACTACTTCATATTAAATATCAGACGAACTATTTTAGGGAAAATCCTACAAAAGAAACTATTCCTTTTATACAAATGAGAAAACATTTAAGAAATAAATAAGGAATTAAAATAACAGTTTTGAGGTGACAAATATTAAAAATACCTAACTAGCTGGGCTAAAAAGTAGAGAATAATTTTCTATTAGTTAAAAACGAAAAATTGTTTTTTCGCAAAATCCCATCCCAATTTTTGTAAAAATATTTTTTTGACAGATAAAAAGTTAAGTTATTACATTGTAAAATATCTTGAAAAGCACCTCAAGCTTTTTGGGTGGAGTCCCAGTTGGAGAGGGTCCTGGCTCCTGGGTTACCGCTACAATAACAGAGTGACAGTAAACATACACAACATACACACAGTATACCTATCTTCAATTGGTTACCCACCGCTGACGAAATTGTTAAAAAATAAATACTGCCCGCCTACGCCTAATAGTTTTAGTTTCGATTTCCAAGTATTTTCGCAGTGGATTTGAGTGACGTATTATTACAAAATATCTATATCTATTACGTTAATTTACTCGACAAATCAACAAATTATTCAATTACAAAAATAAAAGGCCTGCCGCAACGTGTCTTCTCTTTTCCGTGTGAAGATTAATAATATTTTTGTAGGCGCTTAATTTCTGTTTTGAAATTCCTTGTCTTAATTTTTAATATTATAGTAGACATAGTCTATCCTCTATTTTTTTAAATTTCATAATATCTTTGTAGTTACTCTCCGAGAATATATCGAAAAGAAGTGTTAACTTAAAGTCTCTTTGTCTCTTTGTCTTTGTTTGAAAAGACAACTACATTAGAAATAAGTATATCCTGTGTCGCGGGGGACTTTACAAACATACATGAAACGGACACAAGAACACCCAGACTCAGAACAACAATTTGTGGATCACACAAAGTGTAGTCCCGTGTGAGGATCGGACCCACAACACACAGCGTAGTAGTGAGCGGCGTGGCGACCGCTCAAACCACTACGCCATCCGTGCAGTCAAAGTGTTGTCTTTCAATCAGTATTTAGATGAAGTAGACGACTTTATATAATACTTTTGCCTGCGGCTCCGCCCGCGTGTAAAAAACAGCCTATGTTACTTGCTGATAATGTAGCTTTCAATTGGTGAAAGAATTTTTAAACTCGTTTTCGAGTCATAGGCGTGAAAGCGTAACAAACAAACTTACTTTCACATTTATAAGTGTGGATCTATTTATGTAATTAAAATGGAGTCGAAAATTATGATTTTGAAGAGATCAGTCACATACTACTGATATGTACTTCTTTGCTGAAGAGAAAGTAGTTTGATAGCGGAGTGGCGGCAGAATTCAAATTGAGACTCTCGCTCCCTCTGCTTGCCAATGGTCGCATTGGCAAGCAGAGGAACAACCTGGTAGTTTTTAGCTGGTAAGAGTCCGACAGACCCCTTTGCCATCGCCCTAATGGACGAAGGACATCCATAAGGATCTTCCACCTCGACAACAAAAATAAAGTTATGATAGTGGTCTGTAACTCGACAGAATTTAGGCTTGGGTTGGCAACACACGGCCATTAAGCCACTAATGTTGCCAGTATTTTTAGACACCACCAACGACAGATTCAGGTGGGCCGTGTGTAATAAAAAATAATTCAGACGAAAATACTCGTACATCTAAATGCTTTTTTTAGTTCACGATTTGTAATAATACACAACCGTTGAAGTTTTCATCGCCATTGATTTGTTCAAAGCGGCTGTAATAATAACAGTTTAGTTTTGCATGTTATTTACATACCTACTAGGTTTTTTCTTTTAATCTTGTTTTTTTACATGGTCAAATTCGTTGAGGGCTGTGGGCCGCTAGAGAGTGGAGACCTCTGGTGGTATA